TGGTTTCGGAGGAAGATAATGCTTCCCTTCTTCTTCCTATTATAGAATTGGAGATCGAGAAATATTTCAACTAGGTGCTTCAAAGACCCCTAGACCTGATGGATTCTCTACAGCATTTTATCAGAATGCTTAGCCTGAAATTAAGTCAAAGGTATGTAAATTTGTGCAAGATTTTTTTGGCAATTGTTGTGATATTTCTGATATCAATAAAATGAATATTGTCTTGATTCCTAAGACTAATAAGCCTAAGGGGGTCAATCATTTTAGACCTATAGGTTTGTGCAATGTCCTATAAGGTCATTACAAAGATTGTTACTAATATATTAAGATTGTTGATGGATAAAATCATTTCCCTGTGTCAAAGAGAATTTATTGATGGTAGATAGATTTAAGACAATGTAATAATCACGCTTGAAGTATTCCATTATTTGAAGTGTAAGAAGGAGGGGGATAAGTGGGAGTGTACTATGAAAATTGACATGAATAAGTTGTATGATAGGGTTGAATGGACATTTCTTGAAAGTGTCAAGTTGAAAATGGGTTTTTCTATTGTTTGGGTCAAGTACGTAACGAATGTATTTCTTCTGTGGCTTTGTCCCTTTAAATTAGTGGTAGGAATGTTGATTCTTTTATCCCGAGAAAGGGTATCTGGCAAGAAGACCCTCTTTCTCCTTATCTTTTTATTATCATTTTTGAGGTTTTATCTCATGATTCAATATCATATCAGAAAGCAGGAGTTGAAGGGTATTAAAATTGCCAGAGGGGCTCCAGTATTTTTGCAATGTTTTTTTTACAGACGATAGGCTCTTTTTTATTCAAGCAAAGAAGGAGAACTATCTAGTGTTGAAGAAAATTTTTTATGTTTATTGTGTTGCTTTAGGTTAGAGGGTTAATTTGGAGAAGTCTAGTTTATTTTTCTTGACTAATACTCCTCCTAATGTGCGTGATGATATTATTAAGTGCATTAGGATTTCTGCCTCTGTTCATCTTGAAAAATATCTAGGTCTACTTGTTGTTTGGGGTAAATCAAAGTCTGCTACCCTAGCTTATGTAAAGGATAGGGTAGGTCAAAAGTAGAGCTGGGAATAAGGGTCGGAGCTTGAAAGCTTGGCCTTGATAAGTCATGTGAAAAAGGGCTTCGCCTCGGGCAGCCCTGATAAGCTTGGTTTTCTTACATATATATACACATACATATATATATTTAATTGATAATGACACAATTTGGTTAATATTTATTGTTGGTGATGAAGAAGAAATTGTAGAGATAATTGACATTAAATCTTCACCTATATATTCAATAAGTGGACCTATATATGAGGTATTTAATATTTTATTTTAGATGATGACGATGAAAATTTGGATTTACAATGATGAGTATTTTAATCTTCATCTTAAATTTAAGATTTAAAATCTTTATCAAATTTTATGTGAGACTTTAATTTATTTTATGTTAAATTTTAGAATGTTTTATTAAAATTAAAATGTTAGATTTTTTTAAAGAGGGTTTAAAGGCCCAACCTTTAGCCCTTTAAATAAGGGTTAGGCCTCAAAATTAGGTTGAATTTTGCGTAACTAGGTTTTAAGGCTTGAGCCCTCAAAGGCCAGGCTCGCCCTGATTCCCACCTCTAGTCAAAAGCTTCAAGGCTGGAGACAGAAACTTCTTACCTTTGTTGATCGTGAGGTATTAATTAAGGTAGTTGCTAATTTAATTTCCACTTATTCTATGTCTTGTTTTTTGTTTCCTCTGAAATCCTAGAAAAAGCTTGATAGCTTGATTTCTCATTTTGGTGGGATAGTAATAAGGAGAGGAATGGTATTCATTGGAAGGGTTGGGAAAAGATGACTATCCCCAAGAGGGATGGTGACATGGGCTTTCAAGATTTTCATTGTTTTGATAAAGCTTTTTTTAGCAAAAATGGCCTGGAGGATTTTACAGAAGCCTAATGACTTGTGGTGCCAAATATTGAAAGGTAAGTATTTTGTGAATACTAGCTTTTTGAGGGCTTCGTGGTGTTGGATAAGTATTTTGGAAAGATTTATTGATGAAGGAATTATGTGGTAAGGTGGGTAATGGGAAGGATATCTTTGTCCGAGGAGATGGCTGGCTTTCTAGTTTGGATGGTCATAAATTACATTTTGTTGTTATTAATGAGATTGAGAAGAGGAAGGTGGTGGATTTAATTTAAAATGGCAGATGGAATCTTGATTGTATTGGATAAAATTTCTATGGTAGAAAAGGAGACAATTTTAAAGATTCCTATGTTTGGCTTGGTTGCAGGGATGGTTGTTATTCAATCAAGTCTAGTTATGTGGTAGCCAAATTGGAAAATCCTATTGAACTAGCTAGAGGTCCTAGTACATGTCGGTGTATTATGAGGCAACTATGAAAGCGTATTTGGAAAATTGCTATACCTCTTAAGGTTCAAAATTTTCTTTAAAGGGTTTTAGGGGGTGCAGTTGCTACTAAGGTTGCTTTATATAAGAAGTATGCTAGGGATCCTGTTTGTCCCATTTGTGAAAAGGAGGGTGAGACTATTAAGCATCTCCTTTTCTTCTGTGATTGGGCTAGTAAGTGTTGGTTTGGTTGTTGTTTGGGTAGTCAATTTAAGGATAACGATGCCTTTTGAGTTGATAGCTAGTTCTATGATATGTTGATTGGAAATAAATGTTTAGATGGCTATAGTAAATTTATCCTTGCTTATATGTGTTGGTGGATTTAGAAGAGTAGGTACAATTAGGTGTTTAGAGGTGATATGGTAGATACAAGTGATGTGGTTAGGCTGGTGACGTTACAAGTTAATGAGTTTTAAATTGCTAAGGTGCTTTCTAAAACTACTACATGTAGAGTATTTTTTAAGCTTGCATCAAGATTAATGTCATGGAAACCTCCTCCTTGGAGTGTTATGAAGATTAATATTGATAGATCTTTCTTGGCTAAAGAATGTAAGGCTAGAGTTGGTCTTGTTTGCAGGGATGATAGGGGTGCGTTCTTGGGTGGCTTTTACAAGACGGTCTCTGCAAAATCCTCCTTTATGTTCGAGTGTCTTGCACTGAAGCAGGCTATGTTTGTGAGAAGTAGATTTGCTAGTCTTATGTGGTTTTTGAGTTGGATTGTGAATCTTTATTTTTGAAATTGATGAATCTTTCTATTGATGGCTATGAGTGGCAAAGTAAGGATTTGCTAAAGGAGTTCATTGAGTTGAAGGGATCGCTTTCGAATGTTTTTTTTCCCCTTAGTTGCTAGACAAGGAAATAAGGTTGCAAATGTTCTGGCAATTGGTGCTGCAAGGAGGGTATTTCAACATGATTGGCTGACTCTTATACCATCTTATTTGTATCAGATCCTATTTGATGATTATTTAGCTTGTTATTTTGCTGTTTTTGATAGAGATGGTATTGGCTATTAGTGTCTATTGCTTTTTTTTATTGTTATTTTGTTTTGTTGCTTTGGTAAGGGTGTGCTAGGTTATATTGTTAGTTGTTTTTGAGTGTTTTTTTTCTTCAGCTATTGGTGTTTATAATTATTTTTATATTGTGATTAATAAAATTTGTTGTTTATATTGTTTGTTTTAGCCTAAAAAAAATTAACATGTTTCTTTCCATTAGGTAGAATTAGGAAAATAGTTCAAGCTTATTTAATTTGAGAGCTAAGTTGTATGTTTGAAGGGTTCAATATTTAATTAAATTTAAACAACCAACACTAAAGTGTTCAAAAACAAGCGATCAAGTCTTGTATTCTCTCTTGAGTGATGAATCACTTTTCACCCAATAAATAAATGAGAAAGGGAGAAAATCCTGAAAAAACAATAAAAAAATTTTTAAAAAATTAAGAAAAAATGATAATTGGGAATTACATGATCTAAATTATTAAAATTCTAATAATAGATTATGGTCCTATTTGGGCTAAATATGAAACGTCGCTCAAATAGGTCACGAGCTTAGTTGGGCTAAGTAATTAAAACGTCAGACCTAATATAAACAAAAAAGGCCGGCCCCAAAGCTCAATAAAGTTTACAACACATAAACATGTCGAAATCCTGTCAGCTTCAAATATCAGACCATTGGCACAAAGACACGATCCTAAGTGATATCAAAATCTATGCCCAAGTAGTTCGGTGAAACGGGCTGTTGATTAAAATGAAAAGACCGTGCTATAAGTTTCGTGGGATTCTTGATTCTTCCGTAGAACGTGCTAAGTCTCAAAGAAAAGGCTTCTACCATTAGACACTATAAATAGAAAGAAGAAAAACAGAGAAAGTCAGTCAACACTCGATCAAGACTCGCATAATTTACATTTACTAGCCCTTTTTAGTTCTTAATTTTTAGTCTGTAATTTTCAAACACTTTAATAAAATTACACACTTATTCTACCAAAACCTACTATCTTTTTACATTCGAGCGAACTGTGGTAAGAAAATTCGGGACCCCTTTCGTTATCTATTGAGACCCAACATCTCTGACATGCCTGGTATTTGTTGTTCAACCATGAATAGGTCCTTACTTATAATTTAAAAAATATCAATAATTAGTTGGGAAATCTACTGTACACTTGAGATTATTTATGAGGGTCAATAGTAAATGACAAACTAATCACTTATAATTTTTTATTATCAATATATAAATAAATCACTAAAAAAATCTACTAAATATATTTAAAATTATTTATAATGTCAATTAAAAATTTATGAGAGTCAATTATAAATTGTAAGCCAATTATTTGCAAGAATTTATAAGAATCAATTGTAAATTACAAGCCAATTATTTATACTTTTTTGCTATTATTTAGGAAATCAATAAAAGCTAATTGAGAATTTTTATAACATGATTTGAAAATTTATTAAAGTCCATTGTACATATCAACAAAAGATAATTTATTATAAGTAATGACCTTCAATAATTTAGAATCTATAATTATCATTAACATTTTTATGGGTCCTTAATTGTCATTTTTCCAAAAATGCAAACCCAAACCTAATCACTAGTCACTTCAATCACTCATTTGACCCTTCGGCACAGAGTCAGACCCTCCTCCTCATCATCTTCGTTCATCGGCATCACATATTCTGCTCTGTGCCCCCTTAATAGCTCACGCTCACAGTTACTGTATAGTTGGCCATAGCTCTGTGCTCTAATATCTTTTCAATCCCTCATTTTTCTGATTTCTCATAACTCTTTTTTTTTTCAATGTTTTGGTTTTATTTTGAAAATTTGGACAGTGATTTGATGCTTTAATTTGGTAATATTTATGACTTGATCTATAAATTTTATGATATTGACTGTTTTATTTTTGCGTATTTATTTCAAGGAGAAATTATTTTGAAAGCATGTAAAGGGACTTGAAGCGCACAAGCTAGTCTTGAGATCACGACTTCAAGAGTCAGCATTGCAATTAGGATAGTATTTGTGTAATCGGTGCATTAATTAGGCTTAGTTTCTTCTAATCACTACATTCCACACATAATCAGTTGCCGGGGAAAAAAAAAAAAAAATCTAAAGTTCAGAAGCAGCTTTGTTAAAGAAAGCTTCAAACTTAGACAATGACCGGAGAAAACATTTCTTTTATGCTTTAGAAGCTTTAGAGGTAACATTGGGTTTTGCATGTGCCCGCCACATTCCTCACTGAGATCTTTCTGCACACACATATAACTGCCATGGATTTGTGATTGTCACGTTGGTTGATTAATTAATTGATAGTTTATGCATCATCTCATCTTATAATTCTCATCTAACTTGAATTGGAAGCATCCAAATGGTGTTCATGGGGCGGCTCAGATCGGGTATCATGCCAGGCTAGCCTGGCCACTTGATCTCTTGAACACCCCTAATTTTAGTATCTTTAGTACTGCCTGTATAAGGAAAGTGGAAAGGCGCTTCCTTTAACCAAAATGTTTATTATGAAGAATCAGATGCTTCATAATAAGGAAAAGTGAAACAGTGAGTAGGGAGAACAAGCAAAGGGAATAAAAGAGATTAAAAGAATAAATCTGAGGAATTAATGTCGTTATAAAACTTCCCAACTTGACCTTTCTTTTCAAACCTGCAAGTCTTGAATTACCAGCTAAGTCTCTCTGCTGCTTCCTCTATCTCCTTCAACAAATGGCAGCACTTCCATTGACACTGAAGCTAATGGTGTTGCTGCTTTTCCTGTCAATAACTCCACCCAGAACAGGTAATTAATCACTCTCGCACAGATTCTCAAACCAAACCTTACATCAGTATCAGTATTATGATTATGATTGGTCCCATATCTCTGAAAGTTTAGAATGAATGCAGTAAATGGTGAGGATGAGCAATGGTGCATAGCTGATGAGCAGACACCAGATGAAGAGCTTCAGGCAGCCATGGATTGGGCATGTGGGAGAGGAGGAGCAGATTGCAGTAAGATTCAAGAGAAGCAAAGTTGCTTCTTCCCAAACACAGTGAGGAGCCATGCTTCCTTTGCCTTCAACAACTATTTCCAGAAGTTCAAGCACTCTGGAGGATCTTGCTACTTCAGAGGTGCTGCCATTATCACACAAGAAGATCCAAGTATGTATTTCATTCATCATCACACTTTCCCTTTTCCTTGCATGCTTTTCTTTAGGACTTTGGTAATTTGTACTCTGCTTACAGTTTTGCATCTGGGCCTCACTTTCAGGATAGAGCAAATTGTACTTTGTATGCATTTTTTTGGGGTTTTCAAAACCTGCCTAAGTCTCTACAATCAGAAGATTAATATTGACCTCCACTGGGAATTTACTACATCAGTTGAACATTTTATGTATTTTAATTTTAAAATTTTTACATATAAACTATAAAACAAAGAGCATATTACCCTAATTTTTCTTGAGTTTTATAAATAGTTACTTGCACATACTCCACATTTTTAAGAGATTTATGTATATTTTGAAACTAAAGTGTGATGTTATCGACATAATTTTGAGTAGAATTCAAGGAATGCATACGCAACAGGATTTGGGTATGCATTTTATAAGGAACTTAAAATCAGTTACACTGTTAATGATTTATGAATATTGTAACTTTTAGAATTTATATTTTGCCTTGAAAGAGATCTGCATATTTTGACGAAACTTAGCAACATATGTGTTAGTTTTATATAATTAAAAGAGGTGTCTAATAAATTAAAGTTGGCATGACTAGTAGGGATTTTTGTCACTTAAACAAATGGTTGAAGGTTTGAATTCCAATCCTTACATATATCCCAATTTTATTAAGAGAGATATACACATTGCTCTCAGTCTCAGGTGAAATATTTTCTAACAATATCAAGGGAGAATATCATTGAAGGAACCTTAAAAGAAAATGTAATATCTGACAAGAACTTCTAATAAGGTGAAGTTATTTTTTTTTAACAACTATCCTATCATTCTAAGTCCTTATGAGGTATTTAATTCTTTTAGAGCTCCTTCATTGATATTCTCCCAAAAATCAAATAATTTAATATAATTCAATGTAGTATCCCAAAAGGAATTTAGCCAAATTTGTCATAATCAATTGAGCTGGTCCTTTGAAACATTGAACAAACGTTTTCCTTTACTACTCAAGTGAGAAGAAGTCCTTTTTTTTTTTTTTTTTTTTTTGATAAAAGGGAAAAGAAAGAAGAAGTCTTCTTAGATCTTTTACAAAACCAAATCTCTTTGTTCCTACCGTTGGTGTGAATGGCCAACCAATCCCAAAGATCCACACTTCCTATGATGTTTTTTTAATTGTTCGGTCAACTCTTTGATGTCAAAACTTAAAACAATCTTTTCTTGTAAATTTTCTCTGTGCTTTTGGAATATACTATCTTGGGATTAGAACGTAGAATGTTTTTTAAAGTCTCTCTTATTTAAAATATAAGGTATTAAGCAAGTTCATATATATTTCAGTTATACTATATTCTTACTTTATTATATTTTACTTAAATAATTCATAACATTGTTTTGAATAAGTTAAATTTTATATTTATGCTACTTAAAAATAAGATTAAAAAGATATAAAAATTTAAAATAATAATTTTTTAAAACATAAATTAATTAACAATAACTTATATTATAATCATTATTATATCAAAGACATATTGAGGAACACCGGCACTGAGATCCACAAAAAGTGCCCCATGTGCACTGAACAAGATAAGCCATGTGATCAGATTGCAATTACTTGATGGATATTGTTGTTTATTTCAATATTTAATGATGCAATTGCACTTCACTTTTAGAAACTGTGATGTAATGGGTGAGATTATTCAGGACTATAATATCATATAGTTTAGGGATTAACAAACAATACAAGTGTTGAACTACAGATATAATGCCCTCTTATATAGTAATATTATAATTTTGATGCGTTGAACTAGTTCAATATTTAATTCTGTGTATACGTCACCAATATAGGTTGATTATCAACTTTCCTATACCGTTTTCATTATGGATCATTAATATGAGTTATTAAAATTTAAATTTGTTAGGTATCGAATCTTAAAAGTATAGATTGGGCTGAGTCAAATGACCACGTAAATTTAAATGAGACTAATTGTTTAATAACAGCATTATTATTTGACTAATTAATAATTATATATTTTTAGTAGGTGTAACTGAGTTTTCTCATCCATTGAAATCAAATTAGTCTACTAATCTCCTTCAACTTTGTTATGGTTCCACTAATTGAATTAAGTTCACACTTAAGATGGGAGATGTATCAAAATTACAGTAGTAAATTGTATTGTGCATTTTTATCCTATTTCATGTGACTGTTTAATTTTTGGATGTAGGTCATGATTCCTGCCACTATGACTTCATTCCCTGATTCAAATCATCATCAATAGACTTGAATGGCTTCAGCATAATTTTTGAATTGCTTGTTGAGTGAAATGGAGTGCACTTTTGCAGGCCATCTTAGCCAGAGGCTGAGAAGTTGTTAGAATCCTTCCTTAAAACCTAGCATCAGAACATGCAGAAGTTAGGCAAATTCTGTGTTTTAAATCTTGATGTATGAACGATGGAAATGTTCAAAAAATTTAATGTTTTTTCCTTGAATTACAAAATGGTTGCGACATGCTAGACTACTAAAATAATGTTATAGTTTCTCTCAAGTGTTATTTCAAGTAAGTTATAATTGTATCCACATTCAACAGAGTTGCAATGGAAGCATCGTTACCAAGAAACTCTCTCTCATACAATTTTCATAAATTAAGAACATGTTAAGAATACATTGATTCAACCTGGATAACATAATGGTACAAGATTGTTATTGAAAGTTCTGTGAATTGTCATAAAACATAAGGATTTAGTTCAGGTTCTCTCATGATCTCTTGCTTCAGTCCCCTTCAGATCAAAGTACAAGTACAGATATAAAAGACGAAGAAGAAACTTAAATACGTATGTACACATAATCAAGACAACCAAGCAGACAATATTACCTAAACCACGTGAACTCCAACTCAACACAACGCCATCCTATCTGTAAGGCACTAATTGGCTTTCATTATAAGACTAAGCAAACTTATACCTAACACAAACCTAGTCGTTATGATCATATCACTAAGCAACTGGAGCTGCTGCCTCTAGAAAAGACTCACTCTTCACTTTACGAGATTCCCGAACACTTCTCACAGTTTCCATGGCAACTTGGCCATTAACATAGTGAAATCGACACACAGGCATGTACACGTCAGCCCCACCAATCAGTTCAGTCTGTGTCTCCTGCGTCTTCCTCCATGTGAAGAAGGCACGTTTGCCACATAGTTCACAACGAGCTGTCAACTTGGTAACTGTATCAGCCAGTGGTATAATATGAAGCACTGAACCAAAGTTCCTCCTGAAAGAGTAGAACAACCATCATGAGAAGAATGTTATTAGTGTTTAAAATGAAAATGATTAAACCTAAAAGCATTAACGTAAAAGCCCTAAAGTGGTTTATCAGCCTACGTAGTACAGTAAGCCACATAGACAAAGGGGATCAAGGAAGGGAAAATTCGTTTTTGAACCGTACCTCAAATAGTCACCATCAAGACCTGCAATTATGACAGTTTTACCATCATTGTCAGCAGCCTTGCAGCAGAAATCATAGAGATCGTCAAAAAATTGAGCTTCGTCTATTCCAATCACATCCAACTGCACCCACAAATTCAGTAATCCGAGAATGTCAGAAATCAAGAGCAACACATGCATCAAAACATATTCCCTTATAACGTCATCAAGTCAAAGATCAAGATTCCCTCACAACATGCCCTATGCAAAATTCAAATATTGTCACCAATCATTGCACTGATCCATTATTTAGGGAGAAATAACCATAATTATGTCGATGGATTCTAAAATAATGTATTCAAGTTTTCATCGTTTCCCTTGACACATAAGGCTATTAGCAGGTAGCACGGACAATCACTTTCAAGCCTGCCTCGCCAACATAGATTCACAGTGAACAATTTCCTACTAGCCCAGCGTTGCTGAGCCATGAAACCTCAACTCACCGGGCACATACAAGATCTAAAACAAAGAAATAAGTCTATAAACAGCTATAAGAATCCTATCCTCAGAGTGCCCTGCATAAAAGCCTTTTTAAATCAAAAGGAAGATTTCAGGAGAACCATATTTATGTAGCATAATCAACGGTAATGCTATTACCTTTTCATAGGAATCATCGCCATACTTTTCTCTAAATGAAGACAGATCTGGCAACGCCCAGCATGGAAATTTAATACCGTCATGTGTCACAACTGAATCAATTGCATATCTGGTATCCTTGCTGGATTTTATCATCGCCACATTTCTTTACATAAATAAAAACAAAAAGGAGACAAGAGAGATGAATCTAGTCCTTCAGATCAAGATCACTTGTCTAACAAAATGGCAACTGGAAATATGACATCTATGCAATAATTCACGTATAACATGTAATACACACAATTCCCAATTTCATTCCTAAAGGCCTGCTTGGTTCTAAGTTCAATTGAATCCTCTCATAAAAGGGAAAGACTGTTTTTTTTTTTTTTTGTGTGCGGCTGCTGAATAAAAATTAAAAATCAAATCAACCTGCCATTGTCAGCCTCGGACTTGACACGACGGAGTAGAGCAGTAGTCTTGCCCGCAAACATTGGACCCACAATAACATGAACCTCGCCGGTAGTACGGGGAGCGGAATGGGGAAAATCATTGCTACGGGCGAAGGAAATTGAGTTGTTGGAAGACTCCATTGATGAATAATGGGGCAAGAGCAGAAGAGTTGGAAGTTTGGGGGAAAAAAGAAGACCTGGTAAGATGAGAATGAAGGAGGGTCATGATCGGAATATATATAGGCAAATCGGAATTGGAATTCGAATGGTGGTTCTGCTTTGATTTGATTTTTGGATTAGAATTTGAAAGATTCGAAAATGTGGAGGGAAAGATTTGAAGAGCTAGGTTTTTGGAGGGAAGGAGATGACCCACGCTTGTTCAGCAATTCATTTGACCCAATTTAATTCATTTAATTTAAACCATTTGAACTTTGAAGAGTACGTGGGACGCTTCACTGTGTCGCACGATCACATCAATTCCTTTCTGTGCAAGCTTTCCCGTCTGAAGAGTTTCCGTCTGAAGAGTTTTGGCAGAATGATAAATAAAAATCTTGTAATAATATTAATGTTAAATTAAAATTTTTTTATATTAATGTTTTTAAATTTCAATACTCTTTTTATTATATTTTAATACGAAAATTTTTAATTTTATATTAATATTTTTTAGAAGGTTTTTCTTATCATCCTCCCTATTTTGTTTTATTTAAAATAAAAATTTATATATTTAAATAAATAATTTTAAAATTCAACACTAATTTCTTTCCTCGTAAGTTATAAGTAGTAATTTTGAATCAATTGAAAAAAAGACAACAAGAAATATAAAACATTGAGGGGAATCATTTTAAAATTTTGATGAATCTAAATACTTAAGGTCTTATATTATAATGATAAACTTCATTATTTTCCAATTGAAACAGTTCAAATTTTGAGTCTCTCATTATTATTATTATTATTTTTCAAGGGTTAGTTGCAGGTAGTAGTAAGGAAAAGAGGGAATTTGCTTGATTGGGGGGGGGAGGAATTATTCTTAAATTGTATACAAAAAAATCTAAATATAAAAAATCTTATGAATTATAAAATTACTGTAAAGTGCTCTATCATGTGATGACTTTTTTTTGTTTTTGGGTATAATCAAGTAATGACTCCACTAACAGCTATTAAATGATAATTGAAAATTTTAATATAATAAATTGAAAATTTCTATAAAGAACACGGTACTTAAGAATAATTTTGTAATTTCATAAAAAAATTATTTATTTTTTGTGTGAGACTTAAGAGTAATTTTTCAAAAACAGAGAAATGAAGAAAAAAGAGGTTAGGTTGGTGTAACTGTAAGATTGGGCCACTGACAAGGTCTACACTATAATTTGGGCCTCTCATGTTGCTTGAAGTGGGCCCAAATCTTTTATTATAGTTACCAACTTACCATTCCACAGTGTCATATTGCAAGTGTTGGTGAAGTAACAGGGATGAGAGAAGAAAAGCATGAAGTAGACAAATAAGAAATGAAAGAGTAACAGAAGATGAGAACTTTGGTGAAGAGATGAGAAGGGAAAGAAAATCAAGAAGATGAAATGCAATAAATTGAACAACTTTTTACACGTGGTGGTCACTCTCTCAAGTGGGCTTCTATCCACTGCGTCCATGCCTACCCTCCACAAAGCTGTCCGCCCAATCAAGGAAGATTTTGGATTTAAATTTGGTGAATGACTTAAAGGAGTGTCTTAATTTCAACTGTTAGGTTTGATTAACATTTAAAATTTATCAAAATGTATTTTCCTCCAAAGATTTAAAATAATTTTCATAACTAGAACATTCTTTACTTATATTGTTTTTTTTAAAAAAATTTAAAATTTGATATTTTTTAATATTATATAACAAAATTTTTTTAGCCATTCAATTAAATCAGATCATTGGTTTTGTACTACATGAGATAATCATTGAGTGAGTTTATCGAATCTAAATTTTAAGACTTTTTTAAAATTTTTTGAAGATGCATTATAATCTGCAATTGAACTTTAAGAATTATCATGTAGATTCTTAAAGATCTCTTAAAATTTAATTAGATTTTAAAATATTCAATAACATTCAAACTCTAGTAATTTCTCAATCATTTTAGTCCTTATACACAATTTTCCCATGGCCTTAAAAGCCATTAACACCTTTTAACCAAGCCATCTTTGCCTTCACATTATTATTTTTAAAGTTATATGATTTCTTTTTTTTTTTGGATAGTATGCAAGATTGAACCAGCTATTTGGAGGCAAAAAACGTATAAAATCTTATTATTATCTCTCTCACCTCATCTGTTTCCCCCTTATTTACTATTTAGATTTTTTTTTTTATAAGCATAAGGAGTGAGGTTTTCTTTTTTTTTTTGGACATGTAGAAGTAAGCTCTATAATGAATATTATTTCTCTCGAAATATTAAGAGCAAATGATAAACTTCAAAGTTCATTGTTTTCTTCTTCACATTGTAAAATTTATAAGGAGACGCATTTTTAGAATAATGCAAAATTCAAGAAAACAAGCTATATATAATTTGTTATAATTTAAATTTTTAATTGCATCTATTGATATGTTAATTCTCATCTCTTCCTTTCTCTTACCAAGTTTAAATCACAGACATCATATATAAATCAAAACTTGCTTACAACCTAAACTATGTTATTCTATTTTCATATGATTAATAATAATATTGATATTGATTAACGATCAATAATAATATCAATGGCAATTAAATTAAATTAAATTAAAAGGATGTGACCTCTTTTAAGTAACTTCTTGTTGTTGAGGTTTACATACCAAAAAAAACATAATAAAGGAAATTGTATTATCAATTAAAGTAAATGTGAGTAGTAAATAAAGTTCTCATCACTTAAATAATTATTGAAAGTTTGAATCTTATCTTTTATTTATATAGCAATTTGATTGCAAGAGGTTTAACTTTTCTCTCAATACTTTTAAAGAGATATTCCCCACATTTGATGAAATTTACTCTTCATACTTATTAAAAAAAGGCACAATATGCACAAATTTTATTTTTAAATTAGAAAAAATCAATATGCAAGTCTTTATAGTTTTGTTAAATTTTGAATTAAATTCCTATAATTTATTTTGTTTTAATAAATTTCTTATAATTTAATCTATTATATATTTTAACCTCTAAATGTTATAATTAATAATGAATTATTAAGTTTCAAAAAAAAAAAACATTCTCAGAGTTTACAAAAAATTTAATTTAATACTTTTAGCCAACATAAAAAATTTTATATAATACATTGTTTACATTTCTATTAATTTTTTTTATAAAAACTCTATATGTATAAAAAATATCTAGAATACATTATAATTATATAAATTTTGAATTATAAAAATTATGTTTATGAAATTAATTAAAAAAATATGAAAATTCTTAATTTTATTTTTTCAAGGGAAAAATTTAGGAGTTTTAGTGGTCATGGATTACAAAATTTAATTTGATGAACCTATAAAGATACAATTAAAATAAAATAAAATAAAAAGCAACCTAGTTTAAAATTTAATCAAACTACAAGCACTACACACATATATATATTGTATGGTTGTGCGAAAAAAATTGATATTCTTTCTGTTTAAAAATATAAAATATATTTTTAGAAATTTAATGTTAAAAAATATAAAGTATTTTTAAATTTTTAATGTATAATTATTTTTTTAAGTGTCTCTATTAAATTAATAATTTTATATTTATTTTAGTATAAAATATTCTATTAAATAAAAGTAAAATATGAAAAAAATAAAATTAGTTTAAAAATAAATAATTATTTTATTAAAAAATAAATTTTATTTAAAAATATTTTATATTTTTAAACAAAAAAATACACTGTCTATTTAAATATATACATACAAAAAACACACAAAATCAAGGTTTGGTTCGGGGGGGGGGGGGAGTGAAAATCCGCTTGCGTTGCCATTTGCATTGTCCGTATGTATTTCTCACATCAGCAGTCTCGTGGCTTCTTTCTTCTCTCTTGGCTTCTCTTCACACGACTTCTGTCCTCTCCGCAGTCTGTATATATATTTAGATTTTTTTTATCTTTTCAATCGGTTTGGTAACTGAATTTGCATTTGGTAATCTAATTAAACACAACGGGAAGACGAAGAAAAGGGTGGGGAGGCATAGGTTGATAATGAACTTGTCCTCTGTTCTTAATCTTGCTGTGTCTTCCCTCAGATCTTAGTTCTCTCCCAGATTTGGCATCTTAGTCGTCTTGAATCGGTGGGTTTGGACGAAATCTGGATTGAAGTTTTGATCTTTGCAAAATTTGATGTGCCTTTGGATCTCGATGAAATCGCTTATTGAAAATATTTATGGTTTTTTCAGAAGTTCTTAATTCTGGGTTTGATTTACTGGTAGATGAAGGATCCGTTGTTTCATAATTGAATCCGGGAATATCTGTATCTGCACCATAAATACGGTTTCTGAATTTGTCATAATTAAAGGTATCGTTTGTAATGTTTTTGCGGATTCTGTAAACGCCTTAGATGGCGTAACTAGAACTATATGTAATTGAACAATTTGATAAATGATAATGCTACTAAGTTTTGGTTTCTTTCTAACCGAGAATAAGGCTTTTGATTCGATTGTTTTATTCGGGTTTTGTCATCCAACAATTCTGAAATGAATCGGATCCACCATGAGCCTGCTTTTTTATCATCTGAATTTGGTGCTTGGTTTATCCTACCGAAGCTTGTCTTTATCCTTTCTGATGATGACCCCTCCTGCATCTGTATTATCTGAACTTAGTCGATGAAGCATTTTTTGTCTGTAGATAAAATGCAATCGGATAGTGGCAAGTTATTTATTGGTGGGATATCATGGGACACAAATGAAGAGCGACTTAGGGAGTATTTCAGTACTTATGGGGAGGTCGTGGAAGCAGTGATAATGAAGGATCGGACAACTGGTAGAGCTCGTGGATTTGGTTTTGTAGTTTTTGCCGACCCAGCTGTTGCAGACAGAGTCATAAAAGAGAAGCACAACATTGATGGAAGGATGGTAATTCTATTTATACTCTACTTTCAACTCACGCTGTAATAGTTGCCAAGCGGGTTTTCTTGTTGAATCTACTCCATTCTCTAAAACGGTTAATTGTCTGTTAATTTGTTTACTTCAATACTGTTTGTTTTAATCATTTCTCTTGCTTATGATGGTTTAGGAAAGAATGACTTATACATTTCTTTTTAATTTCTTTTCTTTATATTTAATACTGATTCGTGTATCGTTAGGTTGAGGCAAAGAAGGCTGTTCCTAGAGATGACCAGAACATGCTGAACAGAAACAGTGGCAGCATCCATGGTTCTCCTGGTCCAGGCCGCACAAGAAAGATATTTGTAGGAGGTTTAGCATCAACTGTTACTGAGAGTGATTTCAAGAAGTACTTTGATCAATTTGGGACTATAACAGATGTTGTAGTGATGTATGATCATAACACTCAGAGGCCAAGAGGCTTTGGATTTATCACTTATGATTCTGAAGAAGCTGTTGAGAAGGTCTTACTCAAGACTTTTCATGAACTGAATGGTAAAATGGTTGAGGTCAAGCGGGCAGTTCCTAAGGAATTATCACCAGGACCAAACCGCAGCCCACTTAGTGGATATAATTACGGTATGGGTAGGGTCAATAGTTTCCTAAATGGCTTCACGCAGGGGTATACTCCAAATGCTGTTGGAGGCTATGGACTGAGGATGGATGGTAGATTCAGTCCTGTTGCAAGTGGTCGAAGTGGATTTGCTCCGTTTGGATCTGGTTATGGAATGAGTATGAATTTTGAGCCTGGCTTGAGCCCTGGATTTGGCGGGAATGAAAACTTCAATAGCAATCTTAGCTATGCTCGGGGGTTAAATCCTTATTATGTTGGCAGCTCAAATAGGTTTGGGAGTACTATTGGGTATGATGGTGGTAATGGAGGAAACAATTCTTTCTTCAGCTCTGCGACTCGAAACTTGTGGGGGTCTGGCGGTCTTAATTATGGAACGGGCTCTGCAAATTCCAATAATGCATACATGGGATCAGGAAGTGGGAATGCTGGAGGAAACTCATTTGGGACTGGAGTAAACTGGGATTCTTCAGGAGTTTCTGGTCAAGGTGGTTTGAGCAATGTGTCACAGAGTAGTGGCAACCTTCACTATGGAGGTGGCGACAGTAGTTATGGTTTGGGAGCTGGAGGGTATGGAGGGAGCGGTGGTAGCAGTATTGCCCCAACATCATCATACTCCTCATCAAATGGTGCGTTTGATGGGGCCTTTACTGATTTTTACAATAGTAGTTCAGTTTATGGGGATCCCACCTGGCGATCTTCAAATTCTGAGCGAGATGGGTCTGGTCCCTTTGGTTATGGTCTTGGTAGTGCAGCTTCAGATGTTTCTGCCAAAAGCTCTCCTGGTTACATTGGTGGTTATACTGTTAATAAGAGACAGCCAAATAGAGGTAAGAGCTATTGTAATTATATTCTTTTGCTTCTTCTCTTTCTTCCTACTCTTGAAACACTTGTGTGGCTTCAATAGATAGGAGCAAAACAGGTATTTCTATATATCTAAGGGCTAAGATGAAGAGGACAAGGCAATGTAGTGTTGTTGTGTTTGTTTTAAGAATTTTGCACTGTAGTCTAGGTGAATAGGTTAACTGTTCCCTAGTAGTTTACTAACTCAACGTGTCATGATCTGCTGCACGATTCATGAGTTAATTTCAGATTCATATTCAATTGATCTCTGGCTACTGGGATATTGGCGCATTTTTTTATCATTTATTTCCATAGTATCACATTGATTTAGTGTCTAGTTTAGAATATAGTTTGAGTGTGATTGGGTACAACGTTAATGCATTTTGTAGATATAAACATAAAGCTATATGAAATGAATTTTTCATACAAAACCTTATCAACAAAGTGACTGTATGAGTAATTAGCTAGTGGAGTGAGACAAGCATGATAAATAATATGCTTAATCAAATAAATAAACAAATAATGGGTTTAGTTTTTGCTGAAATACAAAACCTGATGCCTATAAATTTCTTTTCAAATAAACTCAGCTTCTCCAGTGTTGGTGAAATTTATTGTTTTTCACTTTACCCATATTGGCTTTTCTTTTTGGAAACTTCCCTGCGTACATGCTTGGTTTGGAGTTTAAATTAATAGAGAAGACAGATTAACTTCTTGTATTTGCAGTAGATACTCAAATGGACATGTTATGTTAGATCGTGTCTATGGAATTTTTTAGAGGCATTTATAAAGTATATGATGTCTGTCTTTAAAAAGTGTATATGGAAATGGCTTCTTCTTCTTAATAGATAAGCTACAACTCTTTGATCTTGTTTCACATTTGACAGTTCTGTTACTCTCACTTTACCGTTAGTTATGTATCAGCCATCTTGTCAATGTACTTCCATCTCTCATACTGTCTTATATTAATTCTCCTTGACCGCTGCAGAAGTTTCATTGTTAATGCCTTGTTTTTGTATGGTTAGGTGAATTGGTTGTACGAATATAATTGTAAAGTTGACCAGCAATGACTTATTCAGTTCCTCTGCGGCTATGAATGCAGAGCCAGGCAACATCATTGTGTTTGTACTTTTTTTGTAGGATAATTCTGATGTTTCTTGAGAAGTCAAGGTTTTAGAGATGAAATAGATGAAAAGTAGAGTGGAAACGGTCAATTTTTATTTTTTAAGTTCCTGTGCGTCGTTGATGCGTTTCTTCTGCTTTTACCTCTACCATTCATTTCCTGTAATATTAACTGTTTCTTGTTATTTGTTTTAAAAAATTAGCTTCCGGTATAGAGACATGTATTTTGATAGAAACAATGACAAATTGACAATACTAGGAAACTGGAGTTCCATTTACTTAACTTTGGGTGGGTTATCTTGACAATACATTTAAATGGCCTTGAATCTTTTCTTTTTTCAATGAATAAATGTTAGGTTAATTCTGTCATGCTGTTTCCGACCTTGTTTTCTTCCCTTTTTATTTGTACTCTCCTTTTTCCCATGCATTTTCATTTGAAATTCTGTTTTTCTTCTTTTGGACTGGTGTGTTGCGTCTTCTTTCCATGGACCTAATTGTGTAGTTTCAATATTTACTTGCTTTGATTATGATGGTTGAATATATTTGTGTATGCAAGATGCTTATTCTTTATCTGGTCATACGTCATGTTGATGGTACGTGATAGGAAAGATCCGTAGAAATGCTTTTGACTCCCTTTATTTTCTTCTCCCTCTCTACAATTTTAGAAAGCCATTCTAACATTATGATGCTGATAGCTTCTAAACTTCCATTGAACTTGAAAAGTGAGAGGTTTTGTGGGTGAAAAAAATAAAAATTGAATTTTAAAATGAAAGATGGCTGTAACCAAAACAAGAAAAGAGTTATATTTACAAACCAAATTAGTTGTCCATAAAATATGTTGGTGATGGAGACTTGGTAGTATGGGATACCAAGTCCCACATTGAGTATTATGGTATGCTCAATGGGGTATTTAAGTGGCTTAGTTCTCCCACCTCAACGACTAGCTCTTATGATAGGATTCTTCATTTCACTTAGGTACCCATCAATTGATATATGGGCTACATTGTTGGTGGCTTTAGAGAGAGCTATCCATGGAAGGTTCTAACTAATAGGATGCCAAGTTACATGCCATGAAGTGTAGCCGCTAGGACATCAGCGTTCCTTGGTTTCCGAATGCATTGAGGTGCCCATTAGTTGGAAAGCTATTGCATATGATAGGATGATAATAATACTTACTTTGAATTGTTTTGAGGTCAACTGAATTCTTTGACAAAGATTTATGCATAATTCTATAACACAGCATCGACCCCAGTCTGAGGTATTGGGTTGTATCTCATGGTTCCTTCCTCTAGCTTGGCTTGTGAAACAGCCAGATGTAGAAGTTTCTGCTGAATGACAGTCCATAAGGGAGGTGAGAGAAAAAAGAGTGTTGATCTAGGAAGCATGAAGTGTTTTCACAGATGATCTTGACAGATAAGGATATATGATAGATAAAAAAATGAGTAAGTTCACTTGCAATTTTTCTGTCATTATACGGATTTATTTTCAGAAGTTATGGCAGTGATCATGTCTTTTTTTTTTTTAAAACTAGTGGCAATGATCGTGTTTAATATTCAAAAGCTTCGTACATCATAATTCACACATTTTTAAGATGATCTAAATATGTGACTCTCTTTTCTAGGATATAACTAGACACCACGTCCTGCTTTGTTGTTTAGCATTCATATGGAACTCATGTATTGATATTTTAATCCCTAATTGAGATCCTCTGCAATGATGTGCCGTGTATTGAGAGAGCGTGAATCAAAAAGAGTGAACCTGTGCATGGAACTCACTACTTATCTTTCTACCCCCATCTTATTTTCTATCCATTTCTCTCCAATTACACTCTGTAGATGCAAGGAATTCAAATCCTTTCAATCCCTTAAATTTGATTGCTCAAGTGGCACTTCCCCTGAAGATAAGGGTGTGGGGTTGGTATCTCACACCTTTTGCCACTCCCCTTCTACCAAGGCATCTGTTCCTTTCATTCTAACTTTATTTTGCTGAATCAAGTTACTTGGATAGGAAAAACAGATTAATGAAGTTTACTTGAAATATGTTCATAGTTTTTTGGCCAAAATGTTCGAAATAGTTTTGTGGCCTGGTACAAATTAGGCTAACTCTGAAACTTGTCTCTTTTATTCAGGAATTGCTACATAGGAAGATCATTTTGAAGACACGTACGAAATTGTAGGTGAAGAAGCAATGAAGCAGGTGAATTGTGAAGTTTACAGAACACTGTTGTTAGTGTGTTTTGTTAAAGACACAAGATGTTTGGTTATGTAGGCTAACAGGAGTGCCTATTTTGAGAGGATCAGAGATATAGGGATAGAAGTTACAAAGGGAATGTCAAGGCTTAAGTTTTGAGTTTCTCTTAGATTTTCACTTTTCAGTTTTTGGGATTTGAGTGAGATGTAAAATCAGCTTGCGGGATATAGTGGAAGTGTATCATGCATTCACATGTGAGGCAGCAATATAAGAATGATCCACAACATCTCTTCCGTTTTTTTTTTTCTTTTGATTAGATTTTCAACTGTAATGTCTGGCAAAGTTGTGGGTTCTTCTGATCAGGAATTGGTTGTCTCTTACTCTGCAACATTTTTGTTTTTGATTTTTTGTCAGCAGATTGTACTAAGGTTTATGTTGAGTACTAGTGTGAAAACCTTATAAAGGGATACCATCTAGGGTCCCATGAATAAGTCACAAGTATATTCTGATTCTTTTTGTAAAGTAATTTTTAAGGCTTTTTCTTTCTTTGTTTCTTTGACTGTGATACTGATACCATGCTACAAGAGATTATAAAAGACCTTTTATTCTGTTTGGTATCGTATAATGAAAAGAGAATTGTTTTTTCCCCTCTTGACCCCAAAAAAAATAAAAATAAAAAATACTCCATTTGATCTATCAATGTGTGTGTGTGTTGAATTACTTCACTATCTTTAACTAATTAAACTATATTTATTACGCCAAAAAAGGAGATAGAAGTAAAGAATGGGTTCCTGCTATCCAATCCTTCTCCTTTGCCAATTATTTCCTTTCTCATGCCCAGAAGCTATTGGTCCACGTGCGGTTTCACGCTTGGGAATGAGTATGTGTTTGGTTTTTAATTTATCAAAAATTTATTTGGTAAAAATTTATTTGGTAAAAGTTAATTTAATAAAAATTAGTTGTTATACCAAAATTTATGTTTGGATATATTTTTTAAAAATCAGTTTGATATATTAAAAATTGTTTAACTTGTGATAGTGAAATTTATTTTTGAATATACAATTATCAAAAAAATTATAATTTTTATTATACAAATATAATATATTTAAAATATTTAAAAAATATAATAAAGATTTTAAATAACATAAATTTTGATCTATAATGCTAAGAATTTGATCTCTAGTTATTTGTATTTTTTAATTTGTAATTTTAAAAGATGTAATAAAGATTTATAATTTTTATTATACATAAATGCTAAAAACTAACATGATTAATTACTCAATTTATAATACTAAAAAATTGATACCTAATTATTATTATTAAAATAATAATTATATTTTTAATAAATTAATTATTTTTTAAATAAAAGAATAAGAGATTAAATTTAGGGTAATATGATCAAATAACATCCTACTTTTTAAATTCACTTTTTAAAAGTTTCAAATAATTACGTTTTAAAAATTCACTTTCAGCTACTGTTTGAATGTATTTTCAAGATGTGCTTTCCTATAAAATATTTTATCCAAATAACTTTTAACTTTTTGAACATAAAATAGAGAAAAACCAAACGGACCCTGAGTAGATAAGTGTGGGCGCGTCTATATGTAGTATATACACTCCTCTCTTTCTTATAGAAATGGGTTATATTAAAATTAAAATTTTAAAAATTATTTCTATAAAATAAATAATATTCACCTATCATTTTCTTTCCTTTCCTTCTTAATCATTTCAACCAAACAATGCAAAAGTCTGACCTCTCTTTCCGTACTTGGACCTTTTTTTCTTTTTTCTCCTCCCCTGAATTTAATTAAAAACTGGTATTACTATTAACAGAGAAACACAACAAAAGAGCAGGGGCCAAAAGTTTGAGCATTCTTGTCAACGACGTCAAAAGTTTGCTCTTGGCTGTCGTTTTTGGAGAGTTACTGCGTTGTTGTTACTTTGTTTTTGTTGGCGTTTTCTGGTGACTGCCATATCTTTCTGGGAACTCTGTGTACTGCACTGAACCTCACCGACGTCATTGTTTGCCTGCATCTACTTGATCTCCTTCATCACCTTCTTTCTCAGATTTTCGTTTTCCTCTACTTTTTCCCAGTTTTGTATCGTACACCCTCTTCTTCCATTAATTACTTACCCTGCTCCTGCGTCACACACATTCTCTCACCTTCACAATCACAACCTATTTTTGTAGCATAAAGGGTTGGTGCTTTTTGTGGCTTGAAAGGCGCATGTATGTTGGGATAACATTACTTTGTTTTTTGTTTTTTACATTTATATCATGCAAGCTTGTATTTCAAGTCAAACAATGTTTATTTTTATATTTTTTTATTTAAAAATATAAAATATTTTTAATTAAATTTCACCCTTCAATAAAGTAACTATTTACTTTTAAACTAACTATATTTTTCTATACTTACTCTTATTAAATATTCTATAATAAATATAAATCCATTCATTAATAGGAATACTTTTAAAAAAAGATAATGATTAAATTTTAAACGATTAAAAATAATTTATATTTTTTAACATTTAACCCTTCAAAAAATATTTTTTATTTTTATACAGAGGAGATATAACATATCCGTAACAAAGGCTTTGTTTTGTACCGTTTAAATATTGCCTTCTCAAGTTTCCTCCTTGTTTCCTTAGTCATGTTAAGGCTTTGATTAATTTGTCCACGCTTCACAAACGGACTTCTTTGTTTATGTTGGCGTATTAGAAAACCACCATCACTGTCTCCTCTGTGAAATGTCATGAGTTAATGTGCTTTATTCCTTAAGAATGTCTTAGTTATTAATTTAGCTCCGAAACTTCAATATTTATGTGTGTGTGTGGTCTTAGTTGCTTGGTATATCTCCAATGGTGTATTGTGATATTTTGATGACTTCAAATCCACTCTTCCTCGTCTCCCAAGTTGCTGCGCTTTCGAGATTTCATATCTTGGTGGGAGGATATACAGTGGAAGATTCAAGTCAATGTTTCATTTCATAATTGTAATTGAGTATGATATGGATTTAAATATATATGGTAGGGGATTCAAATATTCTTGAATTATTAGGGAGTGATCAAACAATTAATATAAAAAACTCTATTTTTTTTATCGTCTACGTGTATTTTCTTATTAAAGTTAGCCTTGTTAGTATGTTTTGTAATTTACATTAATTTGGAGTTACTTGTCTTCTAGTCCCATGTTAATGTTGATCTTTCTGTCTCATCTTTTTGTTAAAATAATAATATTAATAATGAATAATCAATTATCATTTCACCCAAGCCTGTCATTTTTATTTAGTTTGATGTGATTCATATAATAACAAAAAAATATATTTAATCACTTTACTTATATAAATATGATTTATTTTGTTATGCAAATTAAATGAGTTGTAACTAATTTAATTACCTCACACTTCATTTCTTAAACCCCATGAAATGCAACATAATTTATTATAAAAGCTATTATTGTTTTATTCACAGACCATAAACAACACAGTCCCTCTGATGGATTTAGTGGAAAACACAGACACATATTATATTAATAATCTATGTGCTCAATTCTCCAAATTTGGCGGAGAAAATGTGATAATACAGTCAAATTTTTTTTTTTTACTTGAAACAGTTTTGAATTTTTCATTGAAAAAATGAGGTCAGACCATTAGCTGGTACAGCTAATCTGATTCCCTCACCCAACGTCTTGACCCCATCAATCTGGTTTGTCAACATGATCCAAACAACTAGCTAGGTCGGTTTGATTGAATATTAATGCATCACAAAGTAAGGACTACTCTCCTAAACACGCCATAAAAAGTCATGCAGATCAAAGGCTGTAACTTGAAGATCCCTGCGAAAGTGGTGGGACACACACACACAGTGACTGGGCTTCGATTCCATACGTTGATGAAGACGCAGAAGCGGTCTACCATATGATTCAGAATTCACAGTACCAACGTTTTTACCCCCATTAGCTATATAAAGGACTCAACGAGGGCGCAAGCAAGCAGTGTCTCCTTTACATTTTTTTAAAAAACGAGGAAAAACATCTCTGGTTCCCTTTTTGTTTCTTTTTTACCCCTTTTAATTAATGGTCTGAATTTCCCCCCTTTTTTTTAAAAAAAAAAATCAATTTGTTAGATTTTTTTTTTTTTATAGTCCTCAGAAAAAAGAAACGAAAAACCATTTTCTTCATTTTCAGTCCCTATATAATTCACACACCAAGCATCTCGCAGCTCTTCTCCTTCGCCTTCTCTTGATAAAGCTTGTGTATTTCGCGATAGTTTGTATGTACATATTCTTCCAATCGGTTTGGTAACTGAATTTGCATTTGGTGATCTAATTTAACACAACTGAAGGACGAATAAAAGAGTGGGGAGGCATAGGAATATAATGAGCCTGCCTTCTGTTCTTAATCTAATTGTGCCTCCCCGCAGATCTTAGTTTTCTGCCAGATTTGGCGTCTTCGCCGTTTTGAACCGGTGGGTTTCGACAAAATCTGGATCGAAGTTTTCATCTTTGCTAAAAGTTCGTGTGCCTATCGATCTTGATGAATTTGCTGATTGAAAATGTTTATGGGTTTTTTCAGGAGTGCTTAATTCTGGGTTTGATTTACTGATAGTTAAAGGATCCGATGTTTTTTTTTTTATTGAATCCAGGACCGTCTGTATTTCTTTAGTAAATACAGTTTCTGAGTTTGCCATAATTTAAGGTGTTGTTAATATTGTTTTTGCCAGTTCTGTAAATGCATTTGATGACGTGGGTGGAACTATATATGTTTGAACAATCTGATAGTTTGTACTACCATTAGTTTCGGTTTTATACTATACAGGGATATGCCTTTGTTTTTGTTTTTTTTTTTTTTTCATGGTTGTGGGTTGTGTTTATGATCGTGTAATGAATTGGATCCATCAAGGACCTTCCTTTTCTTTTATCTTCCAAAGAAGGTGCTTGGTTTATTCTTAGGAAGCTTGGCTCTATCACTTCTGTTGTTGCTGTCACTTGCATTTGTGAGAATTGGGACTTACTGGATGAAGCAAATTTTGAACGTAGATAAAATGCAATCCGACAATGGTAAGTTATTTGTTGGCGGAATATCATGGGACACGAATGAAGAACGGCTTAGAGAGTATTTCAGTACTTATGGGGAGGTTGTGGAAGCAGTTATCATGAAGGATCGGACGACAGGAAGAGCCCGTGGATTTGGTTTTGTAGTTTTTGCCGACCCAACTGTTGCAGAGAGAGTCATAAAAGAGAAGCACAGCATTGATGGAAGGATGGTAATTCTTGTTTTGTGCTCCATTTAATTCCTGCCTCACATTTCATGACGCTTTCCTTTTCAATTCTCTCCCATCAGAATCTTTCCTAATTTTTTTTTTTCAAACAAAGTTTTGATATTGATTTGAACTACAAATTTAAGACTTTGTTCTATTAATGGTGTTTGTTTAACTATTATTTTTAACTATCCAATAGCTAGTCTTTCTTGTAATACTCTTGTTTGTTCTTCTTTAGTTTATTATGCTTTCAAGTACAGATTGACTTATCCTTTGCAATTTTTGTATACTTCGAATTCTATTTCATCTATCGCTAGGTTGAGGCCAAGAAGGCTGTTCCAAGGGATGAACAGAGCATACTGAGTAGAAACAGCGGTAGCAACCATGGTTCTCCAGGTCCAGGCCGCACAAAAAAGATATTTGTTGGTGGTTTAGCATCTACAGTTACAGAGAGTGATTTCAAGAAGTACTTTGATCAATTCGGGACAACAACAGATGTTGTAGTTATGTATGATCACAATACTCAGAGACCAAGAGGCTTTGGATTTATCACTTATGATTCTGAAGAAGTTGTTGAGAAGGTCTTACTTAAGACCTTTCATGAACTGAATGGCAAAATGGTTGAAGTCAAGCGTGCAATTCCTAAGGAACTATCACCTGGGCCAAACAGAAGCCCACTTACTGGATATAACTATGGTATGAATAGGGTCAATAGTTTCCTAACTGGCTTCACCCAAGGCTATGCCCCTGGTGCTGTTGGAGGTTTTGGACTGAGGATGGATGGTAGATTCAGTCCCGTTGCAAGTGGCCGAAGTGGATTTTCTCCATTTGGATCTGGCTATGGGATGAATATGAATTTTGAGCCCAGTTTGAGCCCCGGATTTGGAGGGAATGCAAATTTCAATAACAATCTTAACTATGGTCGGGCATTAAATCCATATTATATTGGAAGCTCAAGTAGGTTTGGGAGTCCTATTGGATATGATGGTGGCAATGGAGGAAACAATTCTTTCTTCAGCTCAGTAACTCGGAACTTGTGGGGAACTGGTAGCCTTAATTATGGAACAAGTTCTGCTAATTCCAGTGCTTACACTGGATCAGGAAGTGGGAATGTTGGGGGAAATATTTATGGCAATGCTGGAGTCAATTGGGGTGCTCAAGGTACAATGAACGTGTCACAAAGTAGTGGTAACCTTGGCTTTGGGGGAGATGACAATAGTTATGGTTTGGGAACTGGAGGTTATGGAAGAAACAGTGGTACAAATGTTGCTCCAACATCATCACACTCTGCATCAAATGGTGGTTTTGATGGAGCTTTGGCTGATTTATACAATAGTAGTTCAGTTTACGGGGACCCCACTTGGCGGTCTTCAAATTCTGAGCTGGATGGATCTGGTCCCTTTGGTTATGGACTTGGTGTTGCAGCTTCAGATGTTTCTGCTAAAAGCTCTCCTGGTTATGTTGGTGGTTATACTGTTAATAAGAGACAGCCAAATAGGGGTAAGAACAACTATTATTATACTTCATTTCTGTGTTTTACTACTGTAGTATTTGTTTAGACTCTTGACCATAATTATAATTTATATTAGAATGCTGTAGTTATTGTATACAGGTAGTATTAGTATTACTAAAAACACAATTTGGGGGGAAGGCAAGACTGACTGATTTTTTTTTTTTTTTTTGCGGGGAGACTCTTGCACCCATTCTTGATGAAGAGGAAGACTGTTCTCTACTTATTGGTTGTCATGATTCTCCCCAGAATCATTCAAATGCTTATGAAATTACTTCGTCTTACTAGATTCAACTCTTTAATCTGGTTTCACGTTTGACATTTCTTTTACTCTCTGCTGTCCCGCTCATTGTGTACTTCCCATCTTGCTGTACAACTACTGTTTTATGTTGAGTAAATTAATAATTAATAATCTATTTTAGTCCCTGGAAAATCAGTCTTCTTTTAATTTAATCCATCAAAGGTAAAACGCCTCAGTTTAGTTTCTAGAAGTGAAGCCTTCTCTTAATTTGGTTCTTCAAACAGGAGGCCTTTCAGTTTAGTCCCCCAAACATTTCCCCCGATCAAAATGGCCCCTCAGTTAGGCAAAAACATGATCCTCCATGGTTAACTAATGTTCCGGACTTGTGTTGTCCTCAAACCCTCCAGAATCGAGACCATTTTCTTTCCAAAGTTACAGATTTGTGCATTGAGAGTAACAAATGCTTCTTGAAGAGATCACCATGTTGAGTAAGAATGTTTTGAGGAGCGTAAAGCCATACTCCCTCTAGCTTTGTGTAAATATCTGTTTTATTAACAACAAAGCTTATACACCATCAACCTCTCCTATCAACTTATAATCGCCTCATGTCATGCTGTGAATGTTATTAAAATGCATCGTTAATGCATATGAAAACTTTAAATAAGGGACCTTAGGGTAGTTTCTTTAATACTAGGAAGGGTGTGAAAGTAGGTTTTACATACTTCAGGTTTCAGGGCATGCATTAGAATAATATTGAAACTTGAGAGGATGTAAATCTAGATTTCAAAGTCAAAGGAGTTGAATGTGATTAACTTATTTTTCTGTGTAGGATAATACTGAGGTTTCTTGCAAAGTCAAAGTCAAGAGATGAAATGAATGAAAAAGGCATGACCATGAAGGCTTTTTAAGTCTTAGTTTCTCTGTATTGTTGATTCTTCTGTCCCCATCTCTACCAATCATATCCATCATATCAATTGTCACATTTTGGTTGAAAGGGCAAGCTTCCTGTATGGACATTCATGTCTTTCAATAGAAATAATTGTCACTCAGATGCTAGGCAGCTATTGTTCCATTAAGTATCAACACAAACTTGGGCAGTTTATCTGGAAGTTTATATGGTTTGGATTTTCCCCTTTTCAAGTCATGTGTAAATATACACTGTTGGAATAACCTGTCGTACTTCTTTTCTGTTTATTTCCTTTCCTATTTGTTGTCTGCTTCCCCCCCCCCCCCCGGCTTCTCATTCTCTGTAATCCTTTTGTTCATATTTGGACCTCTTAATTTACAATATTCCTAAAAGTTTGGTAAATAATAAAATATAATGGCATTGTACAATTCATATAGCCGACTCCGTGTGATGGGATAAAGCTTCTTGCTGTTGTAATAATCCTTTTGTTCATATTTGGACCTCTTTTTATGCATTGCATCTGCTTTCTGTAGATCTACTTGTGTAATTTAGTTTATTTCCTTGATTGTCAGTGCTGAATGTATTTGCTCTAAAATATGCAGCACGTATCCATTTCTTGGCGTGGTTTTGTTTTTCTGGCTAAGATGTTTTGGGCAGGGTATAAGAAAGATAAATGATGCCAGATGGTGATTAGTTGAAATCACAGAAACAGATTTACCCTTTAAGAATAAACCAGTTTTGTCTGTAGCATATGTGAGAAAGATATAAAATATGGTAGCATTGGGGGATGTTATGACAGTTGATGATTCATTTTTTCCTAAATCCCCCTTTATTCTCTATTGTTGTTTCTTTCACGTCCCTCTTCTCCTATCAACAGAATTAACCCTGACCAGAATGTTTAATATTGTATGTCATTTTCCCACATCACCACGTGGCCTTTCCTTTAGCCCTGCTTGCAATATAGCTGTATTCATGTATCAGAGATAAATGGGGTTTCTACTGCATGACAGTCTATGAAAGAATTGAGAGAAATATGAGTCTTAATATGGGAAGCATGGATACGAATAGAATGCAGACATAGTTCATTTTTAAAGTGTCCCATGCTTCATATATCTTGATGCACAAAGATAGGTTTCAAAGAAAAAAGAATAAGGAGGGACATGGGGAATCTTGTGCTGAGCAGAAAGTAAAAGCTGCACAATGGAGAGATGCTCACTGAACCTTAGCGAGAATGAGAAAAAAGTGACAATTGAGGACATAATTTCCATCCCTCCAAAAGACTGCCACGTATTAGTTCATAAATTTGTTATATGATCTGAAGCATTTATTGAACTCGTGAGCAATCATGACTGAGATTAGATAGTTGAGAAAGTGACCAATGAGGACTCATTAATGATAGTTCGTTTTCTGGTATGAATTGAGTAATGCAATGCTCTTAATGCCAACACTGAAACCTCTTGTATCATTGCCTGCAGGAATTGCTACATAGGAAGGTCATTTTGAAGACACGAACGAAATTGTAGGTGAAGATAAAGCAGTGAAGCAGGTGAATTGTGAATTTTGCAGATTACTGTGTTACTGTATTATTTTTAAGAAAGATATAAGATGTTTGGTTATCTAGAACTAACTGAAGTGCCTATTTTGAGGATGTCAGATCAGAGATATAGAGATAAAAAGTTACAAAGGGAATGTTAAGGCTTGAGAGTTCTGGGTTATGGTTTTAGGATTTCAGTTTTTGGGATTTGAGAGTGAGATGTAAAATCAGGTTGCGGGAAATGGTGGAAGTGTATCATGCATTCACTCATGTGGCGGCAAATATTAAAAGATAAAACACTTCTTTCAATTTTTTTTTTCTTGGGTTCTTGTTGGTAGAGTTTTAAATTGTAATGTCTCACAAAATTGTGTTTGTTCCTCAATCATTTTGGTTGTTTTTCTTGTTAAATTGTACCAAGGTTTTATTGATTTGTAGTGAGAAAAAGTTGAAGGGATTTTATCTTAGGTTGTCCATGGATAAGTTGCAGACTTGCAGATATATTCTGATTCTTTTTCTGAAGGGAAATTAACATGTCATGGTCCTAGCCAGAGCTTCATGCGTGAGAAATAAAATTTATTCCCTTTTGTTTACATGGCAAATTTGGTGACCTATTATGTTTTTCACTTGACCTACTTTGACTTGGTATATTAGTCATTACTCCATCCTATCACATTTCTAAAGCCCGGAGAGAAGGATTTTTTTTGGTTTTAATTGGAAAGCATGTTATTGATTTTTTATCTAAAGTTTCCTCTTTTGCCTTTTATTAAATATTGATAAGAGAAAATATACTATTAAGATATCTATATTTAATATGGGCAAAGATAGAAATTTATCAAGTTTTTGAAGAGGTAATCAATTTTAAAATTTGCTTTGATTTTAATAAAATATATTAAAAATGATTTACAAGTAAGAGTATATTGAAAGAATTAATCGGCACTTTTTTATTCTTTATTGGTATTTGAACAGTGATCATTAAAAACAAGTTTAAAAATAAATAATTTTTTAGGTTGAAATAGTTACTTTCAATTGAACTAGATAGTACTTAAATTTAATTAAATAATATTAAATACCAAATAGTTATATAAAAGAATGCATGGGTAGTTTAGGAAGATACTACAAAGAGTAAAAGTATAATAAACAACTAGCACAAAATATTAATAGTGAGGACTTGTTTTCAAATTTTTTTTGTTTTTAAAAATAAAAATATTATTTGAAAATATTTTTTTTATTATCTATTTTTTTGAATGGAAATACAGATTAATATATTGATACAGAAAAACAAGTTCAAAAAAAATACAATCAGAAACATGAAAAACATGGCCACCAAAAGAATTAAGACTAAACAAGGCCTATCCTCATAATGATCTAAAAAACTAAGATAGTTGTTTCGAAAACCAAAAACCAAAATATCTTTTTAATGTTTTTTATTTCTGTTTTGTAAAATTAGGAAAAAGATAAAAGAAATATCATATTTTCATTACTAATAATTATGTTAATAAAATAAATAATTTTCTCACCTTTTATTTTACCATTTTAAATATGTTTGTCAAAATAATGATTCAAATAAATTTTCTTTTTTACTTTTTGTTTCCAAAATTTGTTCTAAAAAATTATTCTATGAAATTGTTTTAAGAACATAAAACCAAAAACAAAATCAAACCCCAAAGATTGTTGTCTCTCAAGTGTCAAGTGAGGGAGTATGGATTTAATGCATAAATTGCGTAATTCCCACTGCCCTGTATGCCTCAGAAATATTAGTCTACGCTATTGGTGATGGTGAAAGATATTGCTGGTTCCCCCCACAAAACAAAAGCAAGAACATAAAATTACCACATATTTTATTTTTGTTTTTAATATACACACATATTTTAAATTTTCTTGTGCCCTAACACGTTCCACTTTCTAGCTTTTATGTCGTCTTTTAATGCTATCCAAGGAAGATTAAGAGCGTGTGTGAGCGAATGATTCTCTTGGCTTTTTTTTTTTTTGTTTTATTTGAGAAAATTTTCGTGCCTCAATTTTTAAAGCCAATTTGACAAAGATGTGATTGCATAACTACATTTGTATGTTTCTCTTTTTTTTTTTTTTAAGCCCATCGTACGTATTCAATTTTATAAATATGAAAATTTTCAATTGGAGATGGATAAATACCACCATGAAAAGAAGCTTTTCACTCCTAGCAAGACGGTGTAAAGGAGTTTTGGGGTTTAATACCAAATTATTCAAGAAGCTTGATATATTACTTTATCTAATGTTATTATAAGACACTTTTTTTAAAAAAAAAATTTGACCCTTGGTATAGGACACATGGAAGATAATTTATTACCACTTTTCAATTTTACATCTATTGTAATTTAATTTTAATAGGGGTAAAGTTAATTTTTTTTTATTTTAAGACATTAAATGAGTCAGCTGTCATTTTTTGGTTCCAATGAAGTTGCTGAAAGCTCTTTATAATAGGAATCAAAAGAGAGTAATAAATTCTTAAGGACAGGTTATATAGGATATCAAAAAGTAATAAATTCTACATGAAAATATATAATTAACTTTAATGCTTGATGGGAAAATAATAACTAATTATATAAGTGAATATTTTTTAAAGCATAAGGTAGCTGCCTTAACTACCTAACTTCACCCATGGCCTTGCTCCAAGGGTGTGTGTTCAAAGTAAATATTTTCTCTAGTAAAAAATGTAAGATATTTTTAATTGAATCTCATTTTCAATAAAGTAGTTACTTACTTTTAAACTAACCTTATCTTTTCATATTTATCCCTATTAAACACCCTATAATAAATATAAAATCATTAGTAATAGAAGCATTTTTGAAAAAAAAACAATGATTACATCTCAAAAGACTAAAAATGCCTTACATTTTTAAACAGAGGGAGTATTATACTACCTCTGTTTTAAATTATAAAATATTTTTAGATAAAATCTTACATATCAATAAATCTTATTAAATACACTTAACAACTTTATATTTCTAAAATAAAAATATAAAATTTTAAAAATACCTATCATTTAATATATTAAAAAGAGAATGAATACAAATTAACTAAAGAGAGAAAAAAAGGATAATATCATATATTGAAACATAATTTGCCCAAAGTATCTAATATTTAAAGACGAATTTTTTTTAAGTATCTTATAATTTGAGAATGAGGGAGTATAACAAATCATTTTAAGTATGTTTTGTGTGTGTGATGAATTCACTTGATTCAATATGACAAATCAAATTTGGCCCCAAAGCAAAGATCAATGAAATTAAAGTTTAAAAAAATTGTAAAGATGTAATGTAAAAATTCAATATCATACGAATACAAAACATAAAATTGAAGATAGATGCAAGGATTTGAATGAGTGGAATGTTTGACAAGCAATTGGCATTTCCCCCATGATAGATAAATAAATGGTTAAATTTTTTTTTGGCGAAATAATAAGTAATTTTTTTTTTGGGTGAAAGAAATTTATTTTATATATATTGAAGAACAAACATGTACTCGAGCCTGTTCAACCTATTTTCCCAAAATCCAACAACCTTATAACTGTTTTGGGTTTTGTTTAGTTGATGAAGCTCACCATAGGCTCCACTTTTCTACAAGGCGTGAGGGACTGCGCTAGTTTTCCAAATTGAACATGTTTACATTACTAATCATGTTTGGTAAATAGACAATTATTTTTTATAAAAAAAATAGAAAATATACTTATTTTATTTTCTTTTTAAAAAACATTTTTTCGTGTACCTAGTCCAAATGTATAGTTATCTTTTTTGAAGAATTTTGTTTAAGGACCAAGGATATGATTTATTTACAAATTAAACCCAATAAAATCTAAAATTACATTGTAGGACCAAAAAATTAAATTGAAATAATTTTTGTAAAGGAAATGACCAAAGTGCTATTCAACTAGATTTAAGTGTATAACTTTACTTATTAATTTATGTCACTTATTAATTGCTTAATTTTATTTATTAATTCCTTAACAAGACTTGTTAATTATTTAATCTTACTTATTAAATCTGCAACTTTCTCAACTAAACTGCATTATTTATTAATCACGTAATTTTACTTATTAATTTTATTTTGGTCATTTCCTATAAAAATAATTTCAATAAAATTTTGGCCCTACAATATAGTTTCATATTTTATTGGACCTAACTTGTAAATAGGTCACATTTATGATCTTTAAATGAAATTCTCCCTACTTTGTTCAATCATCACTCCCTCATCGCATGTGTTAAGTATTACTTCCTTCTTTGCTGTTTCTAGGATACCACCTATTAGTCTTTAATGTAGGAATCCTTACAAAATTTAATCAAATAATTGGAATTTATTTTAAAAAATAGCCTTTATCTATTTCACTCTTAACTTAAAAAATGAATTTTTTAATCCTCCTCTCTCTACCACAATAAAAAAAATTACATGTATTTTTTTTGTTTATCTATATTTTTCTAACTATATAAAAGAATTCATAATAATTTTCCTTTTATTATATGTCAATTTTAGGAAAATAAACACATTCAGACTTGTACACTAGAGTGATATGTCATATATAAGATATTTTTTTTATTAAATATTTATCACAAAATTTTTATTAAATCATTTAAGTCTGTTTTTTGGCTTGAGCTTCAAAAATTGGAATATTTTAGTATACAAAGATTTCTTAACCGGAACTTTGGGCTCAAGCTATTCGTTTAAACTTATATTTGTTTTAACCCCCAAAAAGTTGTAGTATTTTATATCTTTGAATTAAATTTAAATTTTAAAATGAATGTATATACTTTAAAAAAATTTATAACTTATTTCATATTTTAGAACAGGGATTAGAAAATCGTCGATTTTAAAGTTAAAAAAGCGTTTAAATCCAGGCATAAAAAGGTTAGACTTATGCATGCACGCACACACAGACGCACACACTATATAGCTATCTAAAGAAAAGAAAAACATAAAAATTTTATTTGCCAACCTTCTTTTTCGAAAACTTTGCCATAAATTAAATAATGATGAAAACCCTTTTGAGGAAGAGGTGTAGAGTTTACTCAACGGTACATACACACCTCTTAGCTTATATCCCCATTCTAAAAATTCACAGAAAAAAAAGGAGAAGAAAATAAGGAAAGAAAAACACAGAAGAAAGCATGCAAGTCCACTAATTATGGATGCCACTACCTTTCTCAGAGGTCCCAATGAGTCCCTCTCTCCTCAGCTTCTCCTCTTTGGACTTCCTACAGAACACAACCCACGAGTTCACCTCTAGCGCTATGCACACTCCCACCAGCGTCGACACTCCCAGGCAGTACACCAGCTTCGCGTATGACCTGCTCGCTCCCATCACTTGAAAACCCTGAAACACGTTCACAAACCCTAGCACCACGCATGCGTACCCTACAAAATGGTGATACGACTTCCAGTACTTCCTGAACTTGTTCGTCGTCTTCGGCCTGAACAGCAGCGCCACTGTCTGCAACGCCCCCAGGCAGAACACCGCGAACCCTAGCTTCCTGTGAAGACTGTACTCCACTCCCGGCGATAGCCTTCCCAGGCATATTCCGATGGCGAACCCTATGGTTCCCAGAGTGAACGCGAACAGTTGTATCCCTGCGTGGACGAAGAACCATGTGGGTCCTAGTGATTGGATGTGTCTGAGGTAACGAGCTGTGGCTGCTCCTACTGGTAGTAGGATTCCCCATGTGATGGCGTTGATGGTTCCGTGGATGACTCTCAGGGCCTTCACGTTGTTGCTGTGTTGTACGGCGGAGGAGCCCGAGAGGAAGTCGAAGGTGGTGATGGAGGACAGGTCGGTGGAGGTCGTTGGGTGGATGGTGGGGGAGTAGCCTTGAACGTAGAGTCCGCGGTTCCAGACGAGGTGGATTTTGGTTTTGTTTGGTTTGAGTTTGAGGGTCGAGAAGATCTGGATGGTGGCGCCGTTGTGTATGGTGGCCATTTTGCCACCGTACATGGCGGCCGAGGAGGAGAGGAGGTGGATATCGAGGGGGCGAGAGAGGAGGGGAGATTTTTGAAGCTTAACGGTGGGGTCCAGAATGTAAGGAAGGAGGACTATTTGGCCGGAGTTGGGGTCAGGGAAGGCAATGAGAGCTCGAGTTCCGGTCATCTCCGGCGAGGTGGGATTCATGCCCCATCCGACCCAACCAGAAGGGGAAATGAAGGTGCCGAAGAAGACAAGGTCGAGGGTCGAATTGTGAGGGTGGAAGGTCCATGCTATGGAGGCTTGTTGGATAGGAAGTGTCATGCATTTTTGGAAGGATTTAGTTGCAGTTTGGGTGGTGCAGTGAGATGAGTAAGCAACAAGGGGAAAGAAGAAGAGAAGGAGAAGATGAAGAAGCATTTTGGCGATGGAGTGATGAGCGAGTGAGGAGAGAGTGGAAGAAGGTGAAGCATGTCAGTCCTTTTGTCAACATTTTCTGCGTTTGGTAGTAATGATGCGTTTTGGAGGAAATGAGAGTGACGGGCCATTGTGGATTTTTCTTTTCTTTCTTTTTTAGTGCAGTGAGTGCTTAACTTTGAAGAAAAGGCTTCTAATTACGGGTGCGTTTGGTGGATGAATGGAAGCCTTTGGCTTCATGTGCTTGCTTCAAATTGAACTTCAATATATCGATCAATATATTATCGTACAATAGCCTATATATGTTGCTTCTACACTTATTGACGGTGGTTGGGTAATTTATTCTAGAGAAAATCATGATTTTTATTTGATTTTAATACTTACGCTAGCTTTGCTTTGAAGCCAGGCCATAATCATTCTGTCTTCTCTCATTAGCAGTTTCAGATATATGGGTATATATAATTATCTTTATTAGGTCCAGACTTGTGATTAAATTTTGTTCGTACGGATTGTTAACTTAACAGATAAATCGTATTAACTTTTTAGGAATACTTACAGAACAGTTGTCGTATTAATTGAGGGAATTACAAGGCCCTGGTGATGAATATTAAGGAACGCAAGATGACCATTGTCTTTTATTTTCTTATTATTGTCTGTCTAAGATCAATATCCATGTTTGAATTTTTAATTAACTCAAGACACACCTCTAATTAATGCCACTTGATCGACTAAAATAAATTAAACACATTCTTTTAATTATTCAAATAATAAGCTTTCCAAATAGGCCTTCCATCCGCTTCCAAAGATTGTATATTTTGAATCCTTCCCATAACTGGACCCCACAGGGCGTTCATCTTAATTAATTTGAAACTGTCGATTGATTTCAATTTCTGGGAATTTTGAAAGCATCGAAATCTACTTGATATGATTTCTGGACGAGGGGGTGTATTGGATAAACTATTAAGAAATCTTGAATTTAATTAATCTTTGCTCATTAGTGCACAAACAAAAATTAAATTGGTGCACGCTGAATTCTCCCGATACCCACAGAAAAAATTAAATCATAGGTGAGCATGGAAATGCAAAAGAAACATGGAAGAAAAAGAGAGAGAGAGAAGAAATTGCAAAATCTAGAGATTCAACATGGAAATTCACAATTCTTCACAGACATTTGCATGGAGTACTAGGATCCAAGAGTGGCAATCTCGTTTATGATTTGCCCTTTGTCTGCTTGAAATTGCTCGTCCTCTGCAGAAAAAGCAGCAACCAGGTCTCAAAAAAAAAAAAAAAAAAACACACACACACACACACATATTTCACAGCCGTCTTAAATTTGAAAATTGGTCTGTGTCCCCATCATTATCCTATGACATTTCTTATACCTAAATTTAATCTGAATGCATACTACTTGGTAGATTGTGTGAGATATCACCTGAGAATTATGAACACTACTTATTTCTTGACATGTGCATATTATATCACTTGTCAAACAGAAATTAAAACACGCACACGAGAGGGAGAACTCTACCTTTCTCGATGTTTGCCAATAACCGCAAAAGCTTAGTCTTGTTGGTAACAAGGATGCTGACAATCTCAGGAGGCTTGTTTTGGTTGGCGACAAATAGCTGTTAATATATACCAACATCAAGATATCTCAAATTTCAGATCATGATAGAGCACTCATTTTCAAAGACATGAGGAGATGTTTTCCATCCATAAAATACCTTGAACGCGTGGAAGGTTTCGAGCTGGATTGACTTGTTAGAGTCCTGCAATTTTTTTTTTTGGTTTAAAACAAAAAAAATTAAGTGCTTTACCTGTACTTTATATACTTGCATAAGGAAATGAATGGAAGAGGAGCATCTATAATACCCTGAGAAGATTCATGAGGATCCTCAAGTTATGCAGCGAGCTCACGTACCGAACCATCACAGCAGAATTTGAGCGATCCAACAACATATCTGCTAATAACTGATGTAATAGCAAAAACTGAGTTTGGTTAACTCTCGCAGTAAATGGCTTGAAGCGCTTAATATTTAAAGAGAAAAATCAAATACACTTTGCTGCTAGAAGTGCATTTAAATACTTTGAGTCACAGAACTAATTAAATCAGTATACTTTTTGTCCACATTTATTTAAAAACACAACTTGCCCCCAAGTTACTGTGTTTTCATTTTTAAGGGTAGCGGCACACAGAACCTAGCGCCACAAAAGCACAACTTGGCACCAATAGACCCAAGGGTCTTTTGTCCGAGTTACTGTGTTTTCACCCACACTTTGTGACAAATTTCTCATACCCGTACAGATTATACCTGCATTTTATTGGGCTGATTGTTCTTATTTTTTGACGGATTTGCTCTGGATAAGTTACTCCTTGTAAATTAAAAATCTTACATGTGTTAGTTTTATAGTGTTTAGAATTAGATACTAACTTGTCCCGTATAAATCATTTAGAAACTAAAAGAAATTAATTTCCGTACCTAGCTAATAGTATGTGTAGTCTTTTTTTATTCTTTGGCCAAAAAAGAAAATGTAGTCTTTTTCATTGATAAATAATATTATAGTGTCTTAATAAATTGTGATTTTTAATTTGTGAAAGTAAACCTAAAACAATATATAGACATATTAAGATAAATGTTACTAGCAAGAAGTTAATCTAAACACAAATTGTACAGTCCCTAGCTTGGTTCATTAATTACTTCTTACGGACGTGATTTTACAAACTAGATTAATTCAAAGTCCTAGTTCCAGAAAAATTGAGGACGAGATCGCGGCAGGTAGTGAAAACTACAAAAAGGATGTCGAAAACATCAAGAAGCAAATAATTACAATAAAATGTAAATTAAACTTCGACGTATGTGCTGCAGCTGCATGTTTTTTTCTCAAGAAACTACAATCTACTTATATACCTTGATGCCTTGTCGTCTTGTGATATAGCTCGAAGATTCCAGTAACTGAGAGTTATATTCTTGGAAAAACTGAAAGACACAGAGGGGGATAGAGAAGAGAAGAAAAGAAAAGAAACTTCAGGAAATTAACCATTAGAATATAGACAGAAATGTAACAAGGTGAATACAATGTAATAACTAAGAAGAAAACACAGCAAAAATAAATTATACTTTCATTTCATGTACCTGCTTTAGGAAAGCAGATGGTAAGGTCTTATAGAAAGTGCATCACTTTAGGATGTTGCAAAAAAGCTACATTAATTGTACTTACCCAGTCAAAATTTTTAGAAAGAAACTCCGCGACTGTAGGTTTATGCCTTGTCAAAAGCTCCTATGTACACCAAAGGAAATGGATCAGCTTTTGGCTGTTAGAATTAGTGTAAGAACAAAATAACCATAATGTATGAGAGTAAAAATTAATAGGGGTTTTGAGTAATTTGCAAAAATTCATAGATTTAAGTTCTCTTGCGTTATATGTATCACAACAAATTAAAGATGTTTCGGAAGAATTAACAGACACTAGTGAAAGGTTGTGAGATGCATTTCCCGTTTGGTTATTAAAAAAAATGAAATAGAATTGATTAAAAAAATAAAGATAAAAATGAGATAATTAAAAAGAATATAATTGTAAACTACATTCATAAAAGAGATAGGTAATTTAATTTATACAATTAAGAATCATAATTCATAAGATTTTTGAAAGGTATGATGATATTTATATTTTTAATATATATTAATGAGTTTTATTATATTTATCATGAGGAGAAAGGGTGATTGAGTTTATTTTTCTATTGATTTTTTTAATTTAGTTTATTCCATTCTTTTTTAGTAACTAAGTGGGACCTAAGTTCTTTCTCAATTGTCATTTTTAATCACAATATATAGAAGGAATTACTATAAAATAGATTCCAGTTAAAACTACTCATCCCTTCATCAGCCATCCATGAGAAATTAACCAAAACATACATGCATGTACAACCAGCAACGATATAAAAAGTAAGCATATATATGTGTGACAGTAGGATATTAATACAAATGCTCAATTCATATTTAAAAAAATAAAATACTTCACTTTCCGCTAACCGACTTTAACATTTACTGAGGAGATCAACATGCTTAATTCAATTATTGTTTAAAGTGATGAAAAAGTGTGAGAGTGTTTTGTGCATGTGCGCCTGTGGCTGTCCTGCATGTATGCATGTGCGAGAAATTGCTCGGAGAACAGCAAGAGTTTTGGACCTTAACTCGTGGATGAAAGAATAAGAAATCAGCAATGAGAGATTTAAAAAAAGAAAATCAAGGAATTGTGAATAAAAAAATAAAAACATATTTGTGCGTGCGTGCGTGTGTGAGAGAGAGAGAGAGAGTTAGATATCTTAGGTATACTCAACTTTGAAGGTTGAAAACGCATCTGTTGCTATTTCGAAATTAGGTGTTTGGGTGTAACCGAAAAACTTCTTCATGTGGTCTGATTCCAAGACATACCTAAACCATTAGTGAATCCTTGTCAGAAAATAAAAACGAAAAAAAAAAAAAGAAGTAGCATGTCAAAATGCACTCAAGATGCGTCATTCCAGCCATGAAAATACTGTTTCAAGTTAATTTCCATCATTTCCTCTGTTTATTCTGAAATGTAACATGCTTGCATATTCTAGTCTACTTGAACCAAACAACAAGAGAAACATCGGTAGGCACTCTTGAAATAAGAAAACTCCAGAGCCCTATGTCCAGATTAGATTGGTCTTGTTCTACTCGTGTCATCCGTTTGTACATACATAAAGAAAGAGGTTTAATTGAAATGATATCTATGCACAAGCTAAGGCAGAAGACCCACACACAAACTTGATTCATATATGTACATTTGAGTCAATTTTGGATTTGGATTCGTGGATATCAAGAAAAATCTATACTACATGAGCACCTACAAAAATATTGTAGAAATTGTGATATTTTCCCCGCTCTTTTCTCCTTGTAGCTTTGTAAGTGAACTGACAAACTCGAATCCTTCTTAATGGTCACATGAGAACATAAATAATTTTTCAAGCCTTTCTCTTTTCTTCATAGAACTTACCTTGTTATATGAGATGACCGAGATAACATAACTAGCAAATGATGATCTATAAAGCTGGTCAAAAAATATGATAATCTATAAAGAACCTTAGTTGATTACAAAATTAATTGTGAAGTGGAATCATGCAGTATTATTTTGGACAGGTTCATCAAGAAAGAGAGACAATAAGGGGGGATTCAGATGGAACCCTCCTGAGTGGGGCCCCGTCCCTCTCTTCGTCTCCTACGGCAAGCCTCGTAGTTCTGCGAAGCATCGGGTCCGATTAATTGGGAAACAGAGCAGTAAAGTAGCTCACCTTGCTACACATTGATGGCGAATGCACTCTCTTGTAATGGCACCATAAGTCAAAGCAATGTCGCCTTCATCATAACTGACAAAACCAATCAGTTCTATTTAACCTTTCAGTAACACATTATTTGGTAATCATGAGGTGTGCATCACCGAAAGCTCACCCAGGTATCAAAATATCCATCAGATCCAAGTTCTTTTCCAGATACTGGGAAGCGAGTAGCTGGGAATTAACTCGCTGCCTTTGCAAATTTGCAATCACATGAGTAGAATGTAGACGGCCCTGCACAGGGAAGTGAATGCAAATTCTTCTTTGGTACGGCTCTCAGTATGACTTTGTTAATCAGTGTATAGTTGTAAATAAAGCCTTTCAAGAAGTTATTTAGGATTTAGACCCAGGATATGCTAAAGTCCATATGGTACCAAAATTCAATTGTATTCAATTGAAGCTTACCCCCAAGTCCAGCTTTGGAAGAGCGATGACAAGGAGACGGAAAGTATCCTCCTTGAAAAACTCCTGGGTTATCTGAACACATGCATCCGGATTTGGCTCTGCAGCCCCATTCCCAAACAGAACAGTCCTAATCTCCAGTATAGTCTTCCCTAATTCTATTAGCTGCAGACAAAAGACCAAACATAGATCACAATCAAAGCATTCATAATTTTCATTCTTTTTCTTCTTTCATTGAATCACGGATCACCTCGAGATAAAATCAAATTATAGAACAATTACAGCTCTTTCAAACAGAAAACACAGGACCGGAATCACATTACAGTATAATTAAATATAAGAATCCCCAATGCAGAAGTAAATCACGGCCACATATATAAAAGAGGACGGCATTGATTTAATTACCTTCTCTTCACGCTTGTTTTCGCGGGCCTCGTTGTTGGTCTCGACAAAGACGAGAAGTTCCCGCGCATACCTAACAAGATCTATCGGCGACCTGGGCTTCTGCTTGAAAAGGCTCTTCATAACGTCTTTCTTCATCATGATTTTTCTAAATGTGAAATTCCGGCCCACGAGAATGGAACATACGATCCTTGATCCACACCCTCACCGTCGCAACCTTAGCTGCAACCACCTGAGATGGCCTCAGGTGGCCTTATGGCTGGGAATTCGATTGACAGGGTTTTAGAAGAAAAGCAGCAAAAGGGGAAAAATCAAAAGAAAAAGGGAATGGGGACAATGGGGAAGAGGATGAAGAAAAATTGAGTTCAGCATATTGACGGTTATGGGGGAAACGGTTATTTTCGGAGCAATGTTCGTTGGAAGATGGTGGGCTCTAAAGGTCTCCAATCTCCATTCTATGAATAGTCGATAGCATATCAATATTAGTTAATACTAGTATATATCATCAATATAAATTATAAAATTTAACCATGTGAGTGTGACGTAGTGGCTATCTCGCTTCGTCCTTTAAGCATGTGATGGGGGATTCGATTCCTCATTCATGTGAATGGAAAGCACTCTATGGCCAGTCATTTGCCTCCTTGTGGGAGACCCCGCAACGGAGAGATTAGTCACCGCTACCGGCGGCGGATACCTTGAGTAATCAAAAAAATATATATAAAATTTGCAATGAATTTTATTGTTCACAAGTCATATTTTCAAAGTTTAAGGAATAAGTCACATGCTGAAAGATTTATAATTAATGTGTTTGTTAAATTTTATATTATATATTAATAAATGTAAAATATATAACAATCTTTACTATTTATTTTTTCTCAGTATAAGAGATAAGTTTCATTAACGGTAAAGATTATGCCTTTCAAGATATTGAAGGTAAAAGTAGACTTCTCACAATTAAATTATTATACTCAACTTTAGCTACTTATTTAAATAATGAGAATCCCTATCACTCATGCTAATTTTAATTAATTATAATAAATTTTACTATTTAAAAACTATGAAAAATGTGAAATACATTAGAAAATATTTTCTAGCTATTCTTATATATCAAAATAATTAATAATTTATAGTTTAACAAATTAGGGGATGAATTAGGTATTTAAAAGATTAGCTTAGAGTCCATTTGGTTTTATAACTTCCCACATTTGGGAAGTGCTTTTCCACTTTCGAATTGTAGAATTTTATTTGGATAAAATATTATCAAATTAAAAGTTCGTTGGAATCACATTTGAAATGTCTTTAGAAGTCTATTTAGCCATCATAACCCATGCTTATTTTTAACTTTGATCAAATGGACTTTTGCTATTTTAGGTGACAAAACTAGCCATCCTTTTACTTTGAAGCCCAAGCCACGTACTCACTTCTTTAGCAAATGTTTTCTATTATTTATCATTATTTTATTATAAATGTTTTCACAACTTTTTTAAATTTTACATTATTTTATACATTTTTATTGTATATATTATTCAAAATAAAAAATTTATATTATTTATAATTTTTTTATTTAAAATTTTATGTTATTTAAATTTTTTATCATTTTTTTAAACATTTCTAATATATTACATTTATATAACAAAAATTATAAATCATCATAAATTAATATCTTTTTTTATAATTATACATTTAAAAATATATTTCACTATATATAATTCAAACAATTTTTAATTAATCAAACTAATTTTTTAAAAAAATTATCCAAACATAAATATTATTATAACAATTAATTTTTATTAAATTGATTTTTATTAAATAAACTTTTAATAAATTGAAAATCAAACACGTCCTTAGTTTTCTTTTGATTTGTAGGAACAGTTTCAAGCGCTAACTTGTAGGGGCTGAATCATTTTGTATGACGGCTTGACTACCTGTCATTCAGTCAATAAAAGAAATTAGAGATCAATGATGATGAACTGAATTGAAGATGGAGATAGGTGTTTTATTTATTTATTTATTTTTGGAATCATTAGAAGCACAATAAGGAGATGAACCATTTTTTTTTTTTAAAAAAAGAAGTTAGAGGGTGGGAATAACCTTAATTCTAATAAAGTAGGCAAGAATTGCATTTTCTGCGGGCACGACTTTTTTCCCCCTAAAGTTCAAAATGTTTCTTATACAGCCATCTCATCCCCAACAAATCGCTGTTTGAATACAACATCCTTATGCATCATATGCACCATGGAGGCTAGCTGGCTAGCGTGGAACTCACTGACATTAATCAGCTTCAACAGAATATTGACTAGCTATCTGATGAAGTTCTTTTTAGTATGGCTAGCTGATAGAGTTCTGTTCATGTATAAATGCATAAAAAAATACATCTCTATAATAATTCTTATTTCCTTCTCAATTGTCCAACATGCAATATTACAGTGCAGTTTGGCGGAAGCCAAATCAAGCGATTACAGCTACTGAGCATACCTTCAGAGGTTAAAAATTTTGTAATGATAATGATTTACAATTGGCATGACAAATTGAACTCAGAACGAATAAGAGACGTTCAGGGCAGCAACTTATATCACTTGCCACGTCTACCATATTCTTCAACTCGGGCAACTGCATCCATGAGCACATCAGTTGTCCAATCCTTCATATCCTCCTGCAAAAATTGTAGGGAGGACAATGAGCTAGCAGTATAGAAAACTCACTCTAACAACACAAGAATGGTACTATCCTCAACATTTGTGGATAATTTTCTTGGTTCAGCCATCATTATAACATATACAATCTACATGGAGCCAAACTATTTACAAACCATGAATAGTATGGCAACTTCCAAGCTCCATCCAATTTTTTCTCCCTTTTTTTTTCTTTGCTCTTTTTAATTCTTTCAACTTTCCCTACACCTTGCAGAGGGTTCAACTTCAGTCATGAAAACAGCCTCAAGCAAAAATGCAGGGTAAGCTTGCCAACAACAATCCCGAAGTGGTACGTCCAACTCTCCCCAAGTCTCGTGCATAGTAGGAGTTTTTTGAATCAGGCTATCTATTTCTAATTTTCCCCACATATTTCAGAGGGTTCCATGAAACGTTGTCTTTATAACATATCTAATTATTGTTATTTTTTGGTAGAAAGTTGAGTAATGGTTTTCTGACACAGTCCTTCTAGGTATAATTATAAAACCTCACACCTATACGTGCAGGCTGTTTGATTGCTGCAGTAAGCCTGATCCCAAAGGCTACCATATACCAATGGCCTAGGGGGTGTGAGCTTTTTGCGAGTTACTTGGGTGCCACTATTAAAATTCATCTTAATTAGTCAAAATTTCGACTTGCAAATACACATCCGGATTCCCTCAGGCCAAATTCTCAAGTCAAATACATTTGCTCCGAATTTAGAAGAAAAACTAGGGCATCAAAACCACTTAAATGGTAACGTTGTCATAAGAACTACTTTAGAACACTGCATGCATTCATTTTGCCTCTTCCCCCTCCCCCTTTATTAAGGTAAAGTGCTCTCCTGTTTTTTTGCAAGCATATACAAAGGTATGTTCATATTAAATCCACCTTCCCGTCTTTAGGTTTATTTATCAGCATTGGCGTGTCACTGTGATAAGGTATTACTTTTCTTGTCTAGCAAAGAAATTTCACAACCTGATGATTAGCAAAACAAAAACATCACCCTGCCAAGAGTAGAATGGGATCAAATTGTCTGCAAGTATTTCTGCTAAAATAGTAACATGTATAAGAAGCATCACGAGGCTTACCAAACGCAACGGTTCTCCAGTTCTTATTCGAGCATTAGGTCGGGCAAGCCTGGATTCAAAAGGCGTCCTTGGCCTCACTTCTCGAAACTCCTCCCACTCTTCACGGGTAAGCATTCTTACAGTGCCTTGACCTGCAGGTGCATGCTTTATCTTGCGCTCAAGTAACTCTTGGGACCTGGAATCATCATACTGTGATGCCAATACAGACATTGATCAGATTATAGCTTCATAAACCAGTGGCTATGCAAATCATAAGGCTGACACTAACAGGTGGATAAACAATGCAGGTTACAACAGACATTGATCAGATTATATGCACACTTATCCGCTAATTTTGATAATTCTTATTTATTGGTCACTTAGTACTTTCATCAAACAATTAAAACGCCATTAGAATAACCAATTCAATTTGAGCACCTACCAACTAAGACTATAAATGGTTCGGAAAAAAGAAGGGAAAAAACAGGAGAATAGGATTCGAAAGGTCAAGCACAAGTCAGGAATACCATCATGAGGAGCTTGGCGAAGAGAGCGATTCCGACCGCAGCAAGAATCATTGGCATTGTGGCAGTGTCGAGGTACGATTTAGATTCAGGAACCTCCACAAAGAACTGGTCTTTCTTTCTTGAGGTCCTCATCTTCCTTCTTTTCTCCAATTCGGCCACCTTTCTCTTCAATGCTTCTGAGGGGCCATCGTACGAATGCGTATGCAACTCCCTCCCAAGCATGAACAATCTACGCCTAATTCTGTTCATTGTTCGTAAATCCAGCTCAGTAGCTCTTTCCTTCTCGCAACTCAAAATGTCATTAGATGCAATCCCAATGTGAAATTACAATGAAATCGTAGCAATCTTCTGCAGATGATCGCCACTCTGCTCTGACTGTAGGGTAGGATTGAAAATTAAAACCCTATTGAAGAAAAACTGTTCGTCGAAACTGGAAACGACGCCTCAACAAAAATAAACAAACAAAAAAAAAAAGTGCGTGCCAAAAAACTAATAAGAAAAACCTAACTTTGTGGTACTTATGATTTGCTCCAATTTTGTTTTTAAGTTTTTGCACTTTTTTTTTATGTTTTAGGTTTATTTGTTTTTTATTTTTTAAAACTCTTTTTCATTTTTTAAAAAAAAATTAAAATTAATTTGATCAAGTGATGTTCATTTAATTGTTTTTAAAAATATTTTCATTATTTATTTTTAAAAATAAAAAAAATAGAAACAGTTTTAAGTTATTCTTTTATTTTTTTTATTTTTAAAATACTCTACATTTAATTATTAAAAAATATAATTATTCTTGACTGATTTTTATCATAAATTACCAACATTGATCATCTGTAATTATCACTACCAGTTTATTTTTTAATTTTAAAAATAATTTTTAAATTAACACAACCAAACATATCTTTATTTTATTTTGTTTTGAAAAATAATTTTAAAAATTATATTATAAAAAAATTTTTATGAGGCAAACCCTTATTTTATTTTTAAAAATAAAAAATGAGAATGAAAATCAAGCAAACCCTTCCATATACTATTGTTTTTCATATTCAAAGTGCAGGGTTAAATTTGTCCAAAAAAAAGTACAGGGTTAAAAGTTTTATGAGGCACAACTCTTATCTTAAAATATTGGATAAATTTGTAAATTTGGCTATATATTATTTTTTTCAGCAACATTTAGTAGCCTAAACTATTAAGTGATGCTAAATAAATCATCAACTTTAAAAAATAGAGCATGCAGACCCAGTAGCCCACCATTAACTTCAGTTGACAGACGTTATGTGAGACCCACAATGACATGTAACACTTCACGTCAGCATATATAAAGGTGTAAATTTAGTTATGAACTATTTTTCAAGAAACATTGGATAGCCTTTTATTATAAAAAAAAGACCATCTAATACTTTTTCATTAATTTTGGTCAAATATCATTTATTTTCATACTTATAAGACCTACAATATGTTAATCTCTCTAATCTTCTTGCCTTCATTCTCAATATTAGCTCAAAAATAAGATGTGCAAAGAGTTCTTATTTGAAAATATTCACGAAAACAATTTCAATGAAATAAAAGCTTAATTTTACAACAATAAGCTTAATTCTAGCTTAACTTAACGATAAATTATTTTTTTCATTTTGTTGGCATCAAAGGATTTAAAACACAAATGTGTGCCTTTTTTAAAAACGTTGGAGACAGTAAGCTTTTAGATATTTTTGGATACTACTTTGAATAAAAATTTGGGGATAGATTTATATTTTAATTTAAAAATATTTATTTAGAAAAAAACATTAAACACATATATTATGTTGGCTAAATAAAATCCTCGGAACACTTATTTACAAAGATGAATTAAAGCCTTTTGTTTTATGGCTATTTGAACTAATCAAATTCGAGCAGGTAAAAAATTAGAGATTTTTAAGAAAGATATACATACTTCAAAATTAGTTTTGGAGTTGCGGGTTAAAAAAAAACAGTTAATTTTGTAGTTTAATTTAGGCAGTACTATTGTTGTATCAGTGTGTGGTGGTGCTTTTGTAAATTTAACAAAAAATATAACTTCATCTAACTATATTAAATTTTTTAAAATCGAGTAATAAATACTAGCAAGAGACAAATATAATTATTTTAGATCTTTTCTATAATTTTTAGAGTCCTTTTTTGTATTTTTTATCAATTAATAGTTAAAGTTAATATTTGTTAATAATAGTAATAATATTGTATTGTTTTGAAATGTTCGAGGAAAACATTGCACTAAAATGAGTTTAGAATTTCAAATACTCATGGACATATAATTTAATGACAAATTTATCCTTTAATCCAAAATATATATCACCCCCTCCTTTCCAAATTATAAAATAATTTGAAGTAAGATTGATCATATCAAGAAAACATAATAATAACACTTTATAAACTTATTTTTTCAAAACAATACTATAAATTTTTCAAAACACCTCTATGTAACATCCTAAATTTTATTGAGGAATTTAACTGTAAATTGTGGATAATTGAGAGAATTTAATTTGAGAAATTATTTTAAATGAGTAAATATGGGTAATTAAGAATTTAATCGAGGAAATGTGTATTTGATGATTTAATTAAAGAAATGTGTATTTTGAGGATTTGAGCAAGGATTTTGTTGATTTAAGTTTACAGATGTTAATCAATTATTTAGGCTCTTAGTTGTGGTTTAAATTGAGCATAAAATCATATACTAGGGCTATTTAATATTCAAAATAGGTATTTGATTAATTTGAGCCCAAATTATTAGGCATAAGTGAGTTTTTTCAGTATTGCCAAATGTCATGACATGTGCATGTATATCGTGGCATGTGACACGTTTTTAGGATTTATAGTTTTGTTTGAAAGGTGAAACAGTAGTGAGGGTTTTTGGTGAGGTTAAAGGCAAAAATTTAAGGCTTTACTAGGGTTTAGTTTAAGACTTTGAGTGTGCACGGATTTAGACTCCCAATTAGCTAAGGTAACTTATTTAATCACTCTCCTACCATCTAATCTTCCTTTTGACATAGATATTATGATGTGTGTAGCTAGAATTTCATTTTTAAGAATACCCAACTCTTGGGTCCAAATTTAATGGATGATTTGAGGTTATATGAATGTTGTTTAAGTAGTTTTGATATTGTTTTTTGGCAAGGAGAGACTTATATCCAAAAATGTTAGGTTGTTAAGGGATGATTAGTTATGATTTGAATGTTTGGAGGTTAAATTTATGTTCAAGAGATGTAATGAGAATAAGTATGGCTAAGTTTGGTGATTAAAGTACATGGGAATGTGTTGGGGTTATGAGATTAATCAACCTAACCTCAAGATTAGGATGTGAATATGTATTAACAATAATTTTTTAGCTATGATTAGTATTGCATTAACAATAATTAGTGTCACATTATTTGTAGATCATGATTTTGACACCATTAAAGGTGATAGTCTACTTATTCGGGAAGCTTTATTAGCAAAGAGCAAAAGTAACCCTTGTTAACGTTTGATGGGGGTGTGTGTAAGAGAGATTGATTGTGTGTAAATTTATTATGCTAGATAAATTATGTTATGTGTGGAAAAATATATATATTCTTGTTTGGAAAATTAATCGATAGGATGAATTGTATACAAGTATTACATTTGATATAACTATTGTGCTAAAACATGTGTTTTCCTAGATATGATTGAAATATGCATGAGTTATTGGGTTTGCTTTGAAATATGTGATGTTGGGGATTTTATCCGGAGATTACCTAAGCCCTTATTAGACCTAATAAGTGGCTAGAGCTTAGATTAACTCATCTTTGGCTAAGTAACTTGATTTCGAGCACGGTGCATGGAGGGATATAAGGTGTAGTTATGCAAATTGTTTTTATCTAGATTGTTTGAATGACATATGTTTGGAAAATAATCTTGCATGCTCACTTATCAATTGCATGATCAGTTGTATTGCATGCATCCTTACATATTAATTTTGGTTACTAGAACCTTTGTATCTCATTCGTCGTGGTTAACATTTTTATATGAAAGAGTCCAACAGGAGAAACAGCAGGAGAGTAGTTGGTATGTATAAACACTACCTAGCCTAGTTGGCATTTATTTTGATAAGGCATATTTGCAGTGACCTAGTAGTTAGAGGCGATCAAACCTCTTTTACTAAATCAGATGCCCTTATTCTCGTCGTTGAATTTTATCAGCCAGCTACCCCTTTTAGGTTTCTTAAAGGTTCCCTTCTGTCTAAGCTACAATTGTCCTTAAAGTTGAGGTATGACTTTGTTCAACAATTACATAGGAGAGAGAGGCAACGAACAGCTACTTTTTAGTGTTCAATTGTGGTCGCACATCTACTCCGAATAAGCCAACACCCCCAAATGAGATGCTATAGTCTTGAGGGGAGAAAAACCTTGAGCTACGGATTAGAAAGAGGGTTTCTCCTTCGACTATATGCGACACGCCTTGCAATAATGGTGGCTCTAAATGGGAAGAAAATAAGGAGCAATAGAACATCTTTTTTCTTAAGAGTAGTAAGAGGAAGAAGGGAGAAAGGAAGGGGCTCAAAAAAATTTTTCTTTTTTTCCAGAGGCCTTGACCACCGAGTAGGTAGAGACGGCTGAATGAAGTGCCTTCTCCTTAAAGGCATAAATGAAGCTCCAATATCAAGATTCTTATAGATCTTAATATTGATAGATAAATCTTGATTGCACGAGATTAACCATCTATCAATGGTTAATTTTGCCCTTTTTAGGGGGATATCCATATATGTAATATGATATATCCCCATCCCCTCCTGAGGGCCAAGCTCTACTTCAGTCCACCACCAGGAAGAAGTAATGGTCTGTTTATTTTTTCTTACGAGTTCCTCAGTAACCAACTGAAAGTCAATTACTGAATCAATAAGAGAAAGTGTCTTTAAAAGAAACTTGCTTAAAAGCATCTTTCTTTTGAAGCTATCTTTAAAAGAGAAATATTCTTACTCTCAGACAGAGAGAGAGAGAGAGAGAGAGAGAGAGAGAGAGAGAGATGATCATGTATCCTACACAATGAATAGAGTTTTATTGTTGACGAAAGATTGTGTTTTAACCCTTACTGGGTTATGGTGGATAAAATCCTCATATGAAGGGCTTTTATGTCAACTAAAACCATTAGCTAGACTATTTAATACGCTTCATGTAAACACTTAAGTAACTTAATTTAGATATTTGTAGAGAAATTTATACCCATTTGAAGTTTATTATCACTATTCATACTATCATTTTGTTGATATGATACTGTATGCCATGGCATATGTAGTGTATGCCATGACACACATCAGAAAAGGTGGATTTTCCTCCCATCACATATGGCACATATGACTCAAACTTTTTTAAAATTGCTCTTGTTAAGTTTTTCACTTTTAAAATTGTCCCTTTGAACCTTTTTCACCCTTAATGAATTTATTTTTGGATAATCTTGCCCTCAGCAATCATGTTATACTTTCAATTGACTTTTTGATCATCTTATTGAATTTAAATACTTATTTTCAAAGGGATCCCATAATGTATACTTTATTTATCTTAGATTTCTATCAATAGTTATTTATTTGAGTTAATTAAATCATTTTCTACCATGATAATTTGATTTGATAAATGTTTTGTTTGTATAAAAAGCCATTTCTACCATTGTATGCTTTTATAAAAATAATTGTGACTTTTAGTTACCATGCTAGCCTCTTTTCTAACATGGTAGGGGGTTAAAATATTATTTGAAGTCTTTTCTATTATAATAAATCTTTATTTATCATGGTAGTGTTTTGAAAAGTAAATTTTGCTCTTTATTATTATGGTAGATTCTTTTTCACTATGGCATATGTGTAATGACCAAAAAAATAATAAATAAAATACTAATAATAAAGTAAAATTAATTAATTAAATTATTAAAAGGTGTTTAACGTTTATTTTCATTATTTTTTTATTTTTAGAGCAAATATATCAAGAGAAAATTATGATTTAGTGGACTTCATGCAAACTACATTATTAATAGGTTCTATATTTAAATTTTTATGAGGTCAAGAGTAAAATTTTACCCTTTAGCTTTAGCTTAAGGTAAAATTATTAAAATGTCCTTCTATTAATTAAATAAATAAAGGGAGAATCTTAGAGCACGTTCGGAGAAAGAGATACAGAGCAGAGCATGTTCTCCTCGTTTCCATCAAATTCAAGAACCATCGAGAGAGAGAGAGAGAGAGAGAGAGAGTCAGAGAGCAGCTAAACCAAGGTCGCCTATGCCGCCTCCGTCTTCTTCTTCCTCCTTCGTCGTCTTCCACATCACCAGTGGTGTGTGCGCTGCGATCGTTCGCTGCTATTGTCCGCCTAGCCTACAGCAGCTTCTTTCTCCTCTGTTTCTCGTTATTGAATCTTCTCTTTCCTTCTCCATTCTGTCCGATCGAAGCTAGTCGTTGGTCAATGTTTGCTATGAGTTCACCACTGTTGAGGTTTGTTTCGCAATGTCCGTGCTTCCTTGCACTTCCACCCATCCTTTCTTGGTTCTATTTCTCATCGCCGACGTTTACCTCTTTCGTCGTTGTGCTTTCTGTGGTATGGGCGTCAGACTTTTTCTTCTTCCTCCTCCATTTTTGCTCAAGCAATTCCTCTTGTTTTTGATATTGATAACTTGAGGTGAGGATTTTTAGGTTCTCTTTCATGCTGATTCTGTGGGTCTGTTTAGAAAGCTATAACAGTGATCTCTCTGCCTAACGATGCTGCCATCTGTGACTTTGTTTAGAGTAGGATTTGAGTAAATTAATATTTAAAGGTTAAGTGAATATTTCCATTGAGTAATCTGTATATGGTTGTTTTGGGTTATTGTTAATGGAGATGAATGTGAATTTGGTTCTTCATTTGAAGTCAAAATTGATTTTGCTTTTGGGTAAATCTAAATATTGATATTGAGAAATTTTAGAAAGGATATTAAGAAAAAAGAATGCTTTATATTTGTTTGAATTTGGATAAAAATGTTTGAAAGAAAGTTGGAATTAAAAATAGAGATTTTAAAGAGAATATTTTCATTGGTAATTTAAGTATTAAATTGCTAATTATGTATTGGTTTTTGAAATATTTATTGAATGTTGTGAAATTGTAGGAAGCCAAATAAAATTTTAGTATATATTAAGAAAACTGAAAGAGAAATGAACTTGTTATTATGATTTAAGCAATAATGTTTTTAAGATGTTTGACAGAATGTTTATTAGAATAAGTTTTGTCTGATTATGAACTTTCAAAAATTTCATTAATTTTTATGAGGACATATTTGATTTAAATGTTGATTATTCATAGGTTTAACTTGAGTTTTGTGAAGAATTTTAATTGTCAAGCTATTGTGAGACAAATTGAATTTTGAAAATTACATGGTTGATGGGTATAAATGATAATATTGTTTTTTTAAGACTTCATTTGAGAATGCACCTAGGGTGCTCGATGAGATAAGGGGTAGAAGAACTTTACAATTTTAGCATGATTGAGGGTGTTTATAAGGAGGAAGATTTGACTCTAAAGAGTGAATATGCACCTGGAAATACTACAGGTAAATGAATAGCGTCCTAATTAATTTTTTTTAATCAAAATTTCTTTTACTTTAATATTACGTTTTTTTGAAAATTATTTTTATAGCATTAATACAATTGTTGAATATTTATTGATTAACATTACTTTATTTTGAGAAATTAGCTTTATCAAATTTGAAATGCTATTTGATCAATTAAATCAAATTTGGACTTTAATTATGAGATTTTTATTTTTTTCAAATATCGAATTGATACAGAGAATGATTCATGCGAGTTCGACTTTAAAATTTTTTTGAATTATTTGATAAATACACGCATGAGCATTAGATATGAAATTTTATTTTAGAAAATTTTAATACTTAAAAGTATTCACGCGAGTTTGATTTTGAAAATGAGAACTATATCTTGAAAGTGATGATTTTCTCGCATGTTTGAAAATGATTTTAAAAAGGAACTTTATACAGAACAATAGTTACTAACAGCAGTTTCGTTAGCCCTTGGCGCGTCATGGTACACCTAGCTAGCAGGGTATTTATAGGAGGTGCTAGCCCCGTGCGATAGCCAACGCACGTGGAACGAAGGGATGGTTATTTGTGAGCATCGTACTCATATTTGTTTCATGGTTTCAAGCCGCGTTTGCTTAGCATTATCCTCGTGAACTGTATGTCCACGTTTGTTTCGTGGCTTCGGCTGCATTTAATTATTTACCTTTATGGACTGTGTGTTTACGTTTGTTTTCATGGCATAAGCCGCGTTTGGTTAATTAGTCTCGTGGACTGTGTATTCATGCTTGTTAATTATTCTGATATGTCTCTATAATTATGAATCTAATTATTTCACAATTTATATTCCATTGATTTTTATTTGGTAATTTGTATATAAAAAAATTTATTTAATTTATGTACTTTCTTGAAATCAAATGATATTATCATTTACTGTGATAGTCTAATAATTTAAGATTTTATTTAAAATTTTATAGAATCATTTTATTATGAAGTTTATTAAATTTTTATGAAAATTTTTATCTCTTTAACTTACATAATTATTTCAAACTTTTCATTTTATTTATGTTCTATTATGTATTGTTGGGACGTTATTCACTGAAAAATTATTTTAGTCTCAAATAACATATTAGACGCTGTACATCTTGCTTAACAATGATGGATGTTTACAAAATAAAATGGAAGCTTGTTTTGTAAATATGTCTTATTGATGTAAATATGAAATCATATGTTATGTCATAAGATGTATGATTAGGTGCTCCACATAACTTATAATTAGAGTCCTTAGTTTATTTTACATTTTATCTGCTGGCTGAAAAGAGTTGAGCTCTTGATTGATATAATGTTTAAGGAAAATTTTAGTGATACAAAATTTTGGAATATCTTATTTACAGAGGAGGTTCTGTCAAAATTTTCACAAAATGTGAAATAATTATTACAATGATTAGTGTCAATAGTATTAACAGGTCACTGAATAACTGAATACATTTTAATTAAATTAAATAAATCTTAAATTTATGTTTTACGGGATATATGATGTGGTTTTTATCCTGTGCCGATCACCATTTTTTTTGGGGCGTGACAATATGTTAATAGATAAAGTTATTTAGAAAATTACATAAATTTTGAAAAATAGGCATGAATTTTATAGTGTTACACTTTACACTTGTAATCATTACTTTATAATATTATTTCAATTTGCTCTCTACTTGAAGGATAATATTGAAAAAGTATTATTAATAAAAAAATTTTAATTGTATTATATTTTTGGAATAACGAAATTCTTTCAAAATTATCAATTTGAGATAGATAGAGTAATTATATAAGATTAAGTATATAAATTTTTTTTATTTATTAAATTTTTTATCATAAATTAATGTGTTGGCTTGTTGGGTTTAGCCCGAATTATTGTCTCGCTAAATATATATGGCATCATGAAAAAAAATATTTTTATCTAAAAAGCTAAAACGACAGATGTCATTAGCAAACTCAACTTGTCAACTTAAGCCTAATAAAAATTACTTAATTAATACGCTTAATTAATTACTCACATCTTCGAATATTGAAATGGAAAATACCGCTAAATATTATGTTCATTCAATATAGTGCCATGTATATTATCATAACATCTTAGGGATATAATTGAAGCCCACTCAATGGTTGGCCAAAAAAAAAAAAATAGCCCATTCAATGGATATTACTTTTTGTTATGACAAGAAAAATATAATATAGAACTCATGTATCAAAAAAGAAAAGAAAAGAAAAATATAGAACTCGCTTCTATTGTTGACAATGAATAACGAATTTTCCAAATGAGGGATGGTAAGATTACTCAAATAATCTATCGACTAGCATCTAATGAGAATAATATGAATATAGCAGACATTAGAAGATAAAATAAAAATTTTATTGGGAGGTGAATTTCTTTAAAATAAAAAAATAATTATTTATTATAGAAAAAATAAAACTTTTGATCTCTCAAGCTAGTTTAATTATTAATTTAGTTTTTTAAATTTAATCATTATCAATCTATTCTTTAAAATTTTTAAACTATACACAATTAGTTTTTAGGGTTTCAACTTTGGAGGAGAAATGTCACATTAAAAGATAATTATATAGTATTATGAAATTTTAAAACTTTGATTAAGAAAATTAAATTGTAGGAACAAGATTAATAACTAATATAAATTTTAAGGATTAAAATTTATATTATCTCTATATTATAAAGCAAACATTTAAACACAAAGACATAATCTTTGTTGAGAAAACTTTTAATGAAAGAAAACTTAGATAAAAATCACCAAAATAAAAAAGATAAATGAATAAATTATCTTTTGAACTTTACATCTAGTAGTACTATAGATTTTGAACTCTTTTATTTTACAAATTATTTTATCAACTCTTAAAAATGGTGCAATCTAGCTCTGACCATTAATAAAAATTAACTTTGACCGCTAATTGATCTAAAAATAATAGAAAAGGACCTCAAAAATTATAGAAAGCTACCCAAAAAATGCATTTTCTATAATTTTTTGGATCATTGTCTATAATTTTTGAATCTTTTATTATAATTTTTTAGTCATTTTTTATAATTTTTTAAATTCTTTTTTGTCATTTTTTTATCAACTAACAATCAAAGTTAACTTTTATTAATAACAAGAGTTAAATTACACTATTTTTAAAAATTAAAAAAATAATTTGCATAAAAGATGAGTTTAAAATCTATGATACTGGTAGACCTAAAATTTAGAGAATAGTTTATTCATTTATCTGAAAAAAGAAAACTTATAAAAAGCCATTAAGAAATACTACCAAATATCAATGACAAGATTCTTGAACTTATATATATATATATATATATATATATATATTATCAATCCTAACCTAATCCTTCCATGTAGACTGGGAAGACAGGCAACGTCCATTATTAATTAATTAGTAAAAAAATATTGAATTAAAATTAAATCTATATAAAGTGAAAGTGGAAAAGGACACACAGATGCTAGAATCAGTAATACATTACATCTTCAATCTTAATATATAATAACACAATCAAGACTCACTTAGCATTGATAGCGCTACTGCTTATAGTGGTATTATTAAAGGGAACTAGATTAATAGGTTTTTCAATTATCTTAAACTACCACCGGCTAATATCAAGAAAAGGGGGAGAGTATCTTAACTACCACCTTACCATAGTAGCAGAATTTCTGGATATTTTGGAAGGTTTTAATTTGTATTGGAACTACAAATTCACCAATATTGATCTTTACTTTGACTTTATGAAAGTTGTATCGCTTATCTAGCACAATTTTTTTAAAAGCCATCCCACTAAAAAAACTATCAAAAAAAATTAAAGATCTTGTCATGCAGGACCAAACAATTATATTTGATCACATATTTAGATAAATGAATGGATCAACTAAATTGCTTGCTTACCAAGAACCTAACATCAACTACGAACTTATGAATTTTAATGATCCACCTCTTGAGTACCAAAATCTTATGAGTGTTAACATATTGTGATACCTTTTCTCTTTGCATGATTATTTGCAATCTTATACTCAAAGAAATATACTCTCTCCTTCTCAAATTATATGATAATTTTAAATAAATTTTCATATATTAATAGATCTCATTAAATACAGCTAACAATTTTATTTTTTTTAAAATATAAATATAAATTTGTAAAAATACCTTTCATTTAATATATTAAAAAGAGATAGGGACATAAATTAAGTAGAGAGAGAACTGATAATATTAAAATAAATATATTTAATGAAATATTAATATTCTCAAAGTATCTTATATTTTAAAAATATATTAGAGAAGATAACAACAAGAGTTAAGCCTAACATGTAATTTTCTAATTTCTTGCCTATTTAATATCCTTAAGTGAACGACAGTTAAGAGTGTCCATAATATTAATGAAATGAATGTAAAAGTGCTCAAAATCATTAAATTTAACTAATGTCTGTTAATATTGATTGTTAAAAAAAATAAAGCAAACATAAGGTGTAAAAATACCTATAAATTTTTATCTAGAAGCTTCGAGTATTCTTAAGTTAACAATAATATATATCATTACTTATTAACTTTATAAAAAAGATCATATAACCAAGCTTGATCTTAACAACTTGGGCTTTCAAACTTATTCAAGCTAACTTGAATACCAAATTATAAAATATTATTTTATTTTATTATTTTTTTGTCAATTTTAATTTTTATATTAAAAATAATATTTTTTAATTTTTATTTAATTTTAATTTTAATTTTATTAATAATAAAAAATTTTAGGCATTCAAGCTAAACGTATTTTGGTTTGAGCTTGGCTTAAATTTTTTTAAACTTATTCAAGCGATTTGAATAAGCTTGCAAATTTTCTAAACTCCTAAGCCTAGTACTAAGCTTTTTTAGGTTTGTTTAAGCTGATATGTTAGGTTTGATTTAAATTACTAGATCAACATTTTTTAATCCGTTAAAATAACTCAATGTCGACCATTTAGAACTTAATAATTGGAAAAGTTTAGCCTATTTTATATTATAAAATTAATGAGTATACATGTATCATTGCTGATTTTATGATACTAAAAGTTCATAGAAAGATATTTTATAGGTGTTTTTTCACCTTATATTTACTTCTTTTTTAACTGTTAATGTTAACAGACTTTAGTAAATTTAATTATTTGAACACTTTTATACTGACTTCATTAACATTATAAGCACTCGTGTACAATCTTTCACTCAAAAATACTAGGTACCTCTAAAAAAAATTCATGAATTTAAGCTTAAAAAAAATAACGGTGGAGCCACTGAATCAAATGCCCAATCTTAGAAGATGTTTGCTTTCATAAAAACAAGATTGTGTTGGCCATCAAATAAAATCAAGATTGAAAAAGAAACTGCTTTCAAATTAATGTAATCATATAGATCTTTTTAAAAAAAAAATTGCTTGGAATGGAAAGAATTATTTAAAATCTTCAGAATAAAATTAAACATCACAAAGGTCATTAATAACTTAGTATAGTCGTTTTTTTAAGTATAAAGAGTATGCTCTACCTAATATCACCCTAAAATATTGAGAGTAGTTGAACCTTTGATAATTTAACTCTTTTTTTTTTCCCTTATAGTTTATTATAATCACCTAAGTTGTAACGGGTGAAATTTAATTGAATTATAAGGACATTCAATGGTCTGTTCGGATACACTTAGAAAATTAATTATGGCTCCAAGATCATGATTTTAAATAATTTTATTCAAACACTCTAATTTTTTAAAATTTCATTTGACTTTTCAAACTTTATTAAGGAGAAGCTGAAATTTGTTTCATTTAGAAATCTGTTTTAAAATCTAAATCTCAATTTTATTAAAATTAATTTTTAAAAATTTATTCAAACGTCGTCTTCATAATCAATTTTTTTAAAATGAAATCCAAACGAACCGTGAGTGATTCTCCTAAATTTTGTTATGAAATAATTTTAGAAAGAAAAAGGACGAGAGAGAGAGAGAGAGTAGAAAGGAAGCAGACGGAACATTTCAATGAGTTGAAAATGAAAGGAGTGTGGTGGTGGCTGTACGGTTGTTGATAAAATGTCAGCAGCATGTGACAACACCTGATCCCTTCCTTCACATGGCCACCTCCCTCTGCACACTACATGACAAACCTCTCCTTCCAAACTCATCTTCCCTCCTTATTTCATCCCTCTCTTAGTTTAAAAAAAAAAAAAAGCATTTTAGTATCTACATTTGCAGTTCATTTCAGTCAAATTTACTTAATTTTTTTTTAATTAAGTAATCAACCCTTGGAATTATGATCAGTTTCAATAAAAGACTCTTTACAATAGTATGTTACTAATGTGGCAATAGTAAGAATTTTGACTAAACATAACTATAATTTTCATGAATTGGTTACTTAATCAAAAAGTCAAGTGAGAATTAGAGTCTTTAAAAAATTAATAATAATCAAGCTTCCAACAAAATTCTTTGAAAAATAAGTTATATAATTCAAGAATTTTAATTATAAATAAAACATTTAAATTCTAAATGTAACTTACAATTGTTATTGAAATTCATATTACAACTATCTAAATTAATATTTTTAACTTATTTTTCAAATATCTAACTATCATTGCTTTTTCTCTTTTGAGACTTTATTGGCTTTCTCAACTTAATTTATTTTTTTTCCACAGTAATCACAGTCAAGACTTTGCTTGAATCCCTTTACCAAACTTTCTACACCAAACAGCTTCAAAATTTTGTTGAGACCATTTCTTCTCCCTTTTTTCTTTCGGTCCTTTTCTTTTCCTATCTCACTTTAACATGCAGAAGATCCAGGTTCGTATCTCTTTCAGGAGTGAACTTATAGCTCAACTGTTTTTTCACATCTAACGTAAAGGGCTCAGCTTAGTTCAGAAAGTGAACTGCAACACTACTGGTTTTTTTTATCCCTCAACGGCAATGTCATATTTCTCTTTATGACTTCAACGTGTCTGACGGAGTTTTTCAAGTTTCCGGATTTAGTCAACAGCCCCATTTTTCAAAGGTTCAAACTTCCACGCAGCATTAAATCAAAACTTGATCATACAAGCTAAATATAACTCAATGTGAAAAAAGAGCTGTATATAATTACATTAGGGGTAAATCTAGAGTACACTTCTATGCCAGTCTAATCAAGCACGCCTACAGAAACTGTTTGGGAAAGGGACAATGATTAAAAAGGGGAAGACAAATTACTTCAGAGCTAATATGGCTGCCCACGTATGGAATATGTATCACTGGCTGTTAGTAGTAAGTATTGCCTTGAATCATATCTAAGGATCTAGTCTTTGATCTGGTTGTATTCGGCTATACATCTAGAGGATTCTTCAGTATGCTTCTATAAATCTGCCGAGTTGAGGACCACCAGGAAAAGAATCAGGAACATAGTCTGAGAAGAAATTCACTGAAAAGAAAAACATCAGAAACAGCTTACCCTAATAAAAATCAACCCCTGATGGCCACTTCCATTGCCTAAAATGCAAAACCTAAAAGGCATCAACTTGTCAGCAAGACTTGACCCTTGTGTTAATGGTAGACAATAGTGGGGGTATACAAACTGCAACTGAAAATACCTGGAATTCTAGTGAAAATCAATGAGAAGAGACATCAGCAGACTTCGCGAGTGGTTCTAAGTTATGAGACGTGCTAGCGGTGACTGCTGCACTCTCATTGACCTCATGCAGTGCAGATGAGTCAGACAGATCTCCTGCTGCATTAGTTGGAGATGCAGATAGGCTATCAGGAAGGACTTGCGCCAGACTACCCCACAGTCCAGGAAACACAGGAATGAAAGAAACAGCATATAATATTAGAAAGCTTGACAGAGTTCAGAAACTTAAACAAGAAGGGAAATAAAATCAGGAACAGACAAGCCCCATACTTTTTGTCTGAGACTGTATTTGTGTTATCCATTTTGCTTCCACCAACATTATCGTCAATGCTAGCTGGATTGACCTCTTCCTGTTTCTGCTGCATCTCAGCAAGAGATGCAACCGTGGGCAAAGAAATAGTAGGAGCATGGCTGCCACTATAGCCTGCAAAAAAGTACATCATCACAATGTAAAGCGTCTGTCCCTGCTTCAAAAGAACTTTTAGGGCACAGTGCTACAAGCCTACAATCAATCTGTCTAACCTGCAATATCTTCTTTAATGCTATCAGGAGGAAGAACTGCATTACTAACGTTACTATGAAGTTGTGGTAAGGGCAGAGAAGAACCAACAGAGAGACTACGATGGTGATGGTGTATGGGATTGTTCTTGAAGTCTGGAAGCTGCAGATTCATCAACCTTCTCCCTTGAAGTTCAATGGCTTTCTGCAGCTCATGCTCCTCCAATTGTCTTCTAAAAAGGATCTCCTGTGGACTATAGAGCATTCTTGCTCCTGCAGAGATTAACAGAGTCAATCAAGGCAAAATGGAAGCACAGTTAAACTCCTTATGGAAGTAACTTCAGGCACAACTTATGGGTGTTGTAAGAAGATGGAAAATTCAATGAAAATTTCCTTTTAAGCACTCAGTCTTCCATGACAATGTAATGCCAATAAGAAATTTAATTACCAAGGTGATCATACGGTTCTTTGGAATCAAACCCCATAGGACTCAAAGATGGCGGAAAATCTCCCCTGTCAAACTGCTGCTGTTGATGCTGCTGTCTCCTGCATCAATCAGACATGACTCATGATATAATTGAATAGGAACGAGAAGTTATAAACCATAGATCAATAAAAGAAAACGACAGGCTCATACTTTTCAGGGACTTTTCCTTTCTCCTTGTAGGGCTTGACAAGCACACGTGAATCACAGATAAAATGTGGGTTCCCTTTGGCTAATATTTGTCTCACAGTCTCTGGATAGACAAAAGTAACAAAGCCAAACATTCGCTTTTGCTGGTATGGAATCCTCACATCTTGCACTGGGCCAAATTGGCTTCAATAAAAGAAAGGAGCCAATTCAATGAAATTCCTCAATTTGGATTTACATGCATGCAGACGATTGTAAATGAGACAAACAATGCAGCTGTATTAGAAGTGAAACATTGACAAGACAAAATATGGCTATTTCCTTACATGCAAGGACAACAATAACAACAAGCTTATCTCACTAAGTAGGCATGATTTGCACAATTCTACTTTACTTCCTTCCATGCATTAAAATGAATTTTGGGAGAAGCAGCCCATAGTCTTGAACCATGAACTTCCCAGGCTGTAATCCTTAAGGACGCATATCATACAATCTTTAATTGAAGCCTTTGATCCATTCTTTAAAAAATCTTGTCAACTATACTCCTTTTGAAAATGAATCAAAAATTTCATCTTTGCTTAAAAGAGAAAGCATTTGCACTAGTTAAATAATTTTAAGCCATGTATCTTGTCTGTGGGGCTTGGATTCTTTATGTATCACACCAACTGAGTATTATCTAGAAGAAAGCAATTATATAAATAAATAAAGCATCCTAATAGTCTCATTCATAGGTATTGACTTTGTCAAGCAGTAAAAACTAAAGAACTAGAGGCTGTAAGAGCTCAATGTGTGTGTTTTCCACCAATTAAAACACTAAAAAGTAGACAATATAAAAGAATATTGAGTTTCTTAAATAAATTTTTAAATGTAAAATAAGAAACCCATACAAAGCTACAAATAAAGGTATAAAACAAATAAAAACTCGAGTTTCCAATTCAAATAAATGTCAACCTTTATCACCATTCATATTATTACAATCCCTTGTAAGCTCTTAAGCGATTTCAACATGTACCAGATGGGGGAAAAAGGATGGCAATATAAATTTTAAAAATATGCTGCGCATATTGGTATTGGATTCGTATCCAATATTAGTACAGACTATTTTTTGAGGTATCAGTGCGTTAGAGGATACATTTTCAGAGAAACTGAAGAACATCATATCTTCACCATTGTCCGTTGGACTGCATTATTCTCTAATTCATTAATGTATATTATAATCTCAACTGACCATGTTTACTAGTCAAGACGAAAGAGATTCCGTGACAATTGAACTTCAACTAGACCTGATTGGCAAGCTGAAAAGTCCCTAGACTATGTACATTGTACATGCTGCTGAATGGAAACTGTAGGTAGGTGAAGTCCACAACATGAAAATAGCCTCCAAGAATAGACGCAAAACACAAGATTTGGACACATAACAAAAAATTTCAGGCTACCCTTGCTCCTTTTGTTCCCTCTACCAGAACCCATCTTTTGTCCTTCAGTTGTTAATGTTCATGCGTACTCTGAAGCAAGCTCACATCAAGTATGAGGAAAGACACTAGGTCCAGCGTTGCTCTAAGAAACTTAAGGTCAAAAACAATACCAGAATCAAGTACAACTCCAGACTCACTAGGACTTTAGAATCGTGATCACACATTCACACTAAAAGAATACATTCAAGTCTTGCATTTGAAAAAATGCGGGGCTCACTAATCAAGAACAGTAAAGAGATTGCCACGGGACACAACACAATACAACTACTGTGACACAAGATATATAATGATTAACTGCAGCTACACCTGTCTCCAATCTGATAGTGTCAGATGCATAGAGATACAGCTCCATTTATGAAATATAGTTGCTTCATAGCCTATATAACAGATTGCAATATACTTCACATGATTCAATGGCAGCGCATTTTCTTATAGATTTAACAACGTCTCTAAATCTAATTCATTATATTTTGAAAATTTTCCATCATTTCAACCCCCTGATGATATCAACTTCGCTGACTTGATAGGGAATTACAGGAAAAGAGTAAGCATGTTACACCTGAAGTAATCTGAAACATCTTCATCTTTAAATGTGCTCTCTGCAGGAAATGTTAAATAAATCTGTCTGGAAGCAGAGTTCAGTCTTTCTGCTGATACCACAGCTGAAAAGTCATTCCTTTCCGGCCTGCCTCTTCCAAAGGGGATAAAGTCTTCACCCATCATCAATGCCGCTGCAGCTCTGAGATGCGTCCCAAGACATCCAGGGTTAAGTAAATAAAAACCAAATTAAACAGGATTAAAGGAGAGAAATTCTGTTCATAATTTGCAGATAGAAAGAAAGAGACCTCTGGCTCTGAGGATCACTTTGCTGCTGCATCAAAAAATTTAAGTACTGATCGTGTGACGAGGGTGACACCCCAGTCGTGAGGCGCGATGAAGCCATCATTCGTTGCTGTATGGCTTTCAACCTCATAACCTCTTCACGCTGTTCGAACCCCTCAAACCTACTTGGAGAACCAACAATGGGAGCATCCAGTGAATCTGGCAAAATGCCATGCACAAACTTGCAATTGTTGCCGTTTTTACAGTGGCCCCTCGCATAGTAAAGGCAGAGCTTATGCCCAATTCCAGGACCTGCTTCTTCAGGCTCAAAACACACATCACTAGCCGAGAAGCACCTCCTATGAAAAGGAACAACATCGCCATTGCTGACAGATTGCCAATTGTTAACCCCAAGCCCCGATTGAAGACATGGATCGACCAAATCCTCGTTTTTGGAGGAGGACTCGTTTAGAAAAGACAAGTAATCGTTCATTTGGTGCTCGTCAACAAAGTCTTTGACAGTGTTTGTGGGGTCGTTTGGAAACCCAGCACGTATATTCTTATAGGAGAGTAAAGTGCTCGAGTTCGGGCTAATGGGGCTGTTGGGCAACCCAGAAAATACCCAAGAATGCGAAGACGGTGAAGATGGGTTCCTACTGAAGTCAAAACCATTGTCACCGATTCTCGGTGACGACTGCGAAAATGGGTTGCTGGCAGTGGGTCTGGCTATGGGGTTGAGAGGAGAGGGAGGCGAAGGGATAGCAAAAGACGTCGACGAGTTACTGGAAAGACGAAGTTGAGTCTTGACCCTGAGAATTAGCGAATGAAGAACATGGTCTGGACTGCAACACAATCGCACTAAATCACTGTCTTCTAGGCTAATGAGGAGAACACCCATGATTTTTGAGGCATTTTCGGGGTCAAGATTCTTGATCTTGGTGAGCACTATATTCGTGGCTTCAGAAGAATCCATGAGTCGCAGAGAAGGGAAGAGGAAAATGGTGATAGTGGCGGTGGGTAATGTGAGAGTGAGGGGTTCAAGAAGGGACTGTATTCCGCCGAGGAACACTTAGCAGTAGATTTTGGAGTCTAACGAGCGGGATTTGGTGGGCACTGCTGCACAATACACTCTCACTCGCTTACTCACTCTCTCTATCTCTCTCTCCCTCTCTCTGTAATCTCTCTCTCTATCCTTGGAGAGATAGCGGTAGATTTCAGATCCAGGTAATCGTCAACCCTCTCTCTCAACCCCAACAAACAAACCATCCATCTTCATAGATTATGGAGGAATTTATTATAACGTTAACCACGGGAATTTTCCATTTTCATTGTACGTATGTTTTTTGGTTAAAAAATAAATAAATAAAGGTACAATAAGAGAACATTAATTGTTTTTGTTTTTTAATTGTATACTTATATATAAATGATTGTTCAGAATTTGAAATTCGAAATAGATATACGAAAATCAAATGCGGGTATATCGTGAAAATAATGCACGAAAAATTTAAATATTTTTACAAAATAAATTAAGTACTATAAAATTAAATTTTAAGAAATTAAAAAATAATGTAATTTGAGAAATTTACTTAAATATGTGAATTATAAAACGTACATTAAACACAACTTTGAATTTATTATCATATATCAATGATTGATAATAATAACAACAAAAAAGATATTTGAATTTGATTTGAATAATATTCGTTATTAGTAACAAACATGTCCTTTATTATAAAGTAAAATTAAATGTATATTCGGTATACAAAGAATTATTCTTTCTAAAAAAAAGGATAATATATCTAGAAAGAAAAATATGGAATAAGTACATTTACAATATGCCAAACGCTACGTAATTGTAACTGGTCAACACACATTGGTTCTTTTAGTTGGGATAGGGATCTAAATCACAATATTGATGTAAAAATTTTATTGAAAAATAATCTCTAAATATATGTTATAATTTTTATAAGTGTAACTATGGTATCCATCTCAAATTTTAAATGAACCTTTAGAATTTTTTTCCTGCTCCAGGAGCATCTCAAAAATTGAAATATTTGACTAATATTTATCTATGAGAATATTAATTGTTAAAAGATTTAAATTTTAATATAGAGATCTTTTTCACTTATATACGTTACAATAACATAGCCCAATAACCCCCTGTTTAACTAAAGGTGCCTTTTTTTTTTTGGGGGGGGGGGGGGGGAAGACTTGCACACATATGAGGTTTTCAAGGTTTTTTTTTTTTTTTTGTTGTTGTTTAAATTGCCTTCACGCAAGGTCCCTGCTAGTTCTTTTGATATCGCTTATTGAATTTAGGAAACATCTCGAACAAAAGGAAAAGTGAAACCTCCAGCAATAAGTTGACACAACTAAGCATGCGAGTATTTTTTGCACTTGTATATCTCTTTTATAATCAAATTTTATAACTTCTATCATACTAATTCAAATTCACTCATATTTAACATCTTAATAAATTTAACCCATAAAAATGATGGTTTGATTAGAATTTTGTTAAATTAATTAATTGCAAAACTAAGTTTTATGAAATTGAGAAAACGAATGCAATTTTAAAAAATGTTACTTAAATTTATAAATGGTAAAAGTCTGTTAAATTTATTATCATATATCAGTGATTGATAATAACAACAAAATTTTGAATTAAAATATTTAGTTTATTAGTAACAATTACTCTCTCCATTTAAAAATGTAAGACATTTTTTGAGAAGTTCAATGTTAAAAAATGTAAGGTGTAATCATTACCTTTTTTTTTAAGTATCTCTGCTGATGAATGATTTTAAATTTATTATAAAGTGTTTAATAAAGGTAAAATTAGTTTAAAAATAAATAATTATTTTATTAAAAATAAAATTAAGTTAAAAATATAAAGAAGTTTTCTTGAATATGTAAGCCGTTGTTTGTGCAGAAGAATCAATGTCCTCGGCTGTCCATTATGGTTGGCCAAGTCTGTCGAGCGCTCGCTCATGTGACCAAGTTGTTGGGCAATTGGGAAGAACCCATGATCCAGTCTCCCTAGACCAGGACCAGTCAATGCCAAAAAACATCATAATCACGTCAGGTCAAAATGCCAATATCACAAAGAAAGACCCCCTTCTGAAAATACTGACACTTGAAGACCCTAATTTTATAAATAACAGCTAAGCACCAGGGTCATTTACTCACTCTCTTTTTAAAAAATTACTATGGACAAAAAAGATGTCCTATTTGGTTGAAAATATGATATGTTGACAGCGGAAAATCATAAGTTTAGCTCCGAAAACTGTGATCTCAGTTACAAATATAAAAACAATTTAGTTAAAATAACTGAACTTTTATTGTTTTATATATATATATATATATATATATATATAATCATCATTCAATCAATATGTCCATACACATATATATAGTTAATAATAAACATATATAATTACATTTATGGCTAATCGCAATATAATCATCATTCAATCAATATGTTCATATATATATATAGTTAATAATAAACAAATATAACTACATTTATGACTAATCACAATATTAGGTTAAAATATATAAAACTCATCTAAATTTTGATATTGTTGTTCAAAATCTCATCATTTTTAAATAAAATTATAATTAACATCCCTAATCTTTTATATTTTACCATGAATTATTCTACTATTATTTCTTAGTTGTATCGTTAGCAAAAGTTGGCATGTCATATTTCAAAAAAGGCACGTACTAGTTTCTGACCTCCAATGTACTTTAAAAGGTGTCATAGATTGTAGATCAAAAATTATTTTTAAAAATGTTCTACAAAATAGAACTAAAGGGAGTAAGTTAATATTAAATTTATAAAAATATTGTCCATATTTTTGCTATTATTATTGGCTAATGTTAAATATCATATAAGTTGTTACCTGTTATTTTTCTTTTAACATGGCATGGCAATTTTTAGTAATAAAATAATTTAAGAAATAACAATAGGGGAGTCTATCAAAAAAAAAATTATGGAGGTTAATTTTAAATTTTTGACGATAGAGATTTTGTTCAACTATTTCAAAGTTTGGTTTGGAGTTATATATATATATATATATATATATATATATATTGGAGAGAAAGGCCATGGCAAGAACCATACAAAAACAAAAAGCAAGTCATGTCAGTGTTAATCTATCGCACCTTAGAGATGGTTCATCTAAAGTTTTAATATCAAGACCATCACTAAGTGCTTATGCAAACCAATTTGCACAATTGTTAACTTCTCTATAAACATAATCAAATGCAATGATTCAATCTTTCATAATAAGGTCTTTGATCTTTGTGATTACTTGAAAATAAGGGTGTTGTCATTGAAATCACAATGAATAAGTGAAAGGGCTTCAAAAGAGTTGGTGTGGCCATGGACTTCTAAAAACTTGTCATTCCAACAAAAGATAAACCTTTTAAGATAACTAAAAGTTTAGTGACAGCACTAGGATAATAGCCTAGATATTTAAAAAGCTTTTTATCAAATTCTCTTTTTATCTTGGATGATGTTTCCACAAGCAACAATCTCGTTTATACTAATAGAGTCATAAGTGTCAAATCTAATCTAATTAAGTTTAAGGGGTGCCACATAGCTTGGGTTCTATCATGATCCATTAATATGTGTTTGAGTTATGATTGAAGCTTCAGATCATTGATTATCTCTTCAATGCAAATAAAAGCAATGTCTTTAGCAAGGGTATCTCCTTTAGAGTAAACCAATTTGTATTTTCCTTTTTATATGTTTCAACATATATGAGCAAAAAGTTTCTTTTGTGGGATTCTTCTTACGGATGGATCTCTTGCATAATTCTATATTTTGGAGTCTCTTTCATACGATTATTTGATTTTCTTTTTTTGGTGCAGTATGATTATATGCTTTGGAAACCAGGTTTTGGTAATCGCTTTTAAACCTTTTTTTTTTAACCAGCAGATATCTTGTCTTAATTGATTATAACAATGCCATAAAAATATATTAATCTAAATATATTTTTACACGATCATACAATCTAAGTATTTTCGTTCGTATTTTATTTTATTCCAATTAAATTTAAATCTGAATGTAATAAAATAAAATTATTTTTCATGGTAAATTTTAAATCTATCTATATTTTTTTAAAAAATTCTCAAGTAAATCGGGTACAACACGTCATTTATTATTTTCCAATAACAATATGACATTTGGATGGTATTAAATATAAATTAATTTTAATATTAATGATAATAAAAGAAAAATGTAAGAAACCAAATATGTATTCTATTATAAGAATAAAATCAATTAAAAAATATCATACAAAATTTATTTAGATTATTTAAAGCATTTTAATTAGACAGACTTCAAATAATATAATGTACTTGATCTATCTAAATATTTTTCAATTTTAAAATTACATGGTCTTATTGTAGTCTATCTAAGCATTTCTCCAACTTTATTCCTTTATCCTCTCTAATCCAATCTCCATATAAGTGGATATAAAATCTAATTGTTCAAAATATTATAAGATTTTTTCAAGTTAGATTTCAATTCAATCTATATTTTTAAATTATATAATATAAATAAAATATATTTTTGAACATATTGTTGCATCATTATACAATTAGGTTATAAAAAATAATTATTCATAAATTAAATTATTATAAAACATATTTTCTCACATTAATTTGAATTTAAATATAATAAGATCTAATTATTGAAGACCAAAAAAATAAAATCTAATCATTCACTAAGTTTATAAAAATTAAATATCTTTCGTGGTGTATTCTATATTTTTTTTAATTAAATGATCTAAACAAAAAAATCATTTTTGACGATATTATATCATTACTATATAATTTTTTCTTTCAAACGTTACTATATAATTAGAAATAAGAAATCTAATTATTTTAAAATTAAATTATTATAAAAAAATTATTCAATATAACAAAATCGAATGATTTGAAAACATTATAAACTCTAATTTATGCACGTACATTTTATTTTGCTCATTTTTTAAGTGCACAAATAAACTAAATTTTAGTCTTAATGATTTACTTCTGGGTATAATTTTTGTTGATTCCATTATGAACTGTAATTTATTTTTTATTTTAATGATGCAAAATCTAAAATAAAAATAATTTTTCAATTATTACATTTTAAAAAATAAATTTATCATTTAAAACCTGTTAATTAAAAAAGGAAAAACATAATATTTAGTCCCTATAATTTTTTTAAATTTTTTATTAGTCCTTATAATTTTTTTTAATGTTTTCAATCCCTATAAAAACTAAAATCATTGAAAAATAAAACCTATAGGGATTTAAAAAATAAAAGTTGCCCAATTTTTTTTGAAACTATAGAGAGTAAAAATACTGAAAAAAATTACAATGACTAAAAGCAAAGCTTAATAAAATTATGAAAATTAAAGATTATATTTTTTTTCATTGAGAAAATTAAATTTAAACCATCAAAATAAATTTTAAACCATTAAAATCTCATCAAACCATGATCGCTCAGTTCAAACATTAGTCACATCTGAGTTCTGGTTTGCATTGCCGTTGATGTGAACTACCCACTTGTGGTTTTGTGGATTACGGTGATCCGTATCTAAAACTGTAATTATCAATCAGATAAAAATACTTATCTAACTAATTTAAGGCTTACCAATCAAACAATTAAAATGAAACAAAATAACAAATGCATTATTTAATTTTGTTTAAAAAGAATAATCTAAATATATTTGTAAAAAATAATTATTGTAGTAAAAACAACAATACTATCTAATTTTTCAAACTGTTAAAAAGCCATTTAAAAAAAGGAAAAAAAATTCAGGCCCTTTAGGATTGTTGGGTTTTATTTTTTTCGTTTTAAAATCTCTCGGTTGGACTTTTTTTTTTTTTTTTGGGTCAGAGAGTTGGACTTTAATATCAGAATTTTTTTTAGGCTTGTTTAGATTTCAGTTGGGTATAATTTATTATAAAAAATAATTAATATAATTAATTTTAATGATAATTAATTATCTTATAATGTAATCATGTTTGGATATTATTTTTTTAAAATTAATTTTGATAAAATTAAATACATTTGGATAATTTAGTTATAATTAATTTTAGATGTACAAATTATCAAGAAAGACATTGTCTTTTAATGAAATCTCAATAAAGCTATATATAATATTATTAAATATGTTGAATTCTATTAAATAAATAAAAAATATTCCCTGCTTTTTAAATGTAAGTAAATTTTAAATAACTCACATTATTTAAGAAAATTAGATTAAACATGATAATGATACCTTATAAAATACCATAAATAAATAAAGAAAAAATTAATCATTTAGTTCTTATAGTTTTGACCCAGTTGTAACTCAGTCTCTTAATTTTGACTCATTATAACTTAATCTTTGAAATTTTGACTTGATTATAAATTAGTCCATAAAATTTACTTTTTACAATTTAGTCCCTTAAGTTTTAACATTTTAGATATTGATCCCTATATTTAAAAAAAAAATTATAAAAATTAAAAATATTTTAAACTTTTAATATTTATAATATTTACAAAGATTAAAAGAGCTTAATAATTTAAAATATTAGTACTAAATTTTAAAATATTTTTAATCTTTATAATTTTATTTTTTAAAATATAGAGATCAATATTTAAGAAGTTGAAACTTTAAAGACTAAATTGCATGAAATGAAGTTCAAAAATTAATTTACAACAGAGTTAAAACTTTAGAAACTGAGGCCCCGTTTGGTATGTTGGAATCAATAAGTAGGAAAAGGGATCAGAAATGAAATCCATGTGGCAGTGTGTTTGGTATGCTATAAACACAACTCTCTAGAATCCTAATTCTTGCAAAATAGGCAGAATTGGATTCCATCATTTACAAGATGGAATTTTATTCTATAATGCTTTCATGCATTATCAATCTATTTTACCTCTTCCTCCATTTTACGCCTTCTTCTTTTTGACACTTCTAGTAATGACGATGATAAGTCTACCAGTAATGACGATGACAAGGCTGATAACTACCTTTCACTGACATCGGACGACAACGTCCTTCTCTATAACAGGCTTAGCATAAATCGCAATAGGTTCCTTGTGATGCTCCTTCTCTTTCTCTCTACTACATATAAGGTGACAGCTCCATCGCCGACAATGAGCCACCTTTGCTCTCTATCGACTCAAGGAGCTTCACACTACCATCACAGGTCACGACTCCATCATCCATGGATGACCTGCCTCTAATGATCTCTCTCTCTCTCTCTCTCTATTGTACACAAGTCAATGACTCCATAACTAGCAATAACCCTCGTTCTAGATCTCCGTCGACTTAAGGAGACTCACACCACTATCATAGGTCAACGACCCACCTCCCACAACCCCTCTCTCTCTCTTTGTGCGCGCGCGTGTGGGTGTTCTTGTCTAGGCATGAATATCTGGCAATGAATGTTGTATAAGCTATGTCATCAAGCATCGCTTCTTCATCTAGGTGTGAATCTGGCAATGTATAAGGTGGATGAGGAAGACAAAGCAAGTAGGTCTTGGGAGGGTCATGATGCTTGGACTTGATGCAAAGGGATCTAGCAAAAAAAAGCTATAGAGAGGGAGATTTTTTTTATTCAAGGATATTTTTGTCTTTTAATATGTAGATATGCAAATTAAATAATAAATAATATAAGGATTCCATATACATACCAAATACACATATGTAATCCAATTCTATTTCAATTTTAATTTCGATTTTGATTTCAATTCCATCAAAATTCTTCCATCATACTAAACAAGGCCTAAGTTATTATGAGTTAAAATTAAGAAATTAAATTACAGTTAAGTTAAAATTATAAAAATTAAATGATTAATTTTTTTATAAACAAATAAGAGAACAAAAACTTAAAGTAATGCCGAAGCCATCAATTTTTTAACATATGTGCCGTACGTTAATGATTGCCCTCTTCTTTCTCATACAATTTAACTCATGTTAATTCCATTTGTGTTGAGTGACAGCTGCCAGAGGCTAAGGGGGTGTTTCGTTTTTATACATTTTCAGAAAATAAAATTTTACTTTAAAATATTGAAAGTTGTTTGATAAAATATTTTATAAAAAATATATTTAAAAACACATTTAAATAGTGGCTGAAAGTGAATTTAAGAAATATAATTATTTAAAATTTTTAAAAAATAAATTTGAAAAGTAGATGTTATTTGACCATATTATTTCAAGTTTAATTTCTTATTCTTTTATTTAAAAAATAATTAATTTATTAAAAATATAATTATCATTTCAATAATAATAATAATTAGGTATAAAATTTTTAACATTATAAATTGAATAATTAATCATGTAAATTTTTACATTAGTGTATAATAAAAATTACAAATCTCTATCACATTTTCTAAAATTACAAATTAAAAAAATACATATAACTAGAGATCAAGTTTTAGCATTATAGATTAAATTTTATGTTATTTAAATATATTATCATATTTTTTAAATATTTTAAATATATTATATTTGTATAATACAAATTATAAATAATCATAAATTTATATTATTTTGATAATTGTATATTTAAAAGTACACTTCACTATCATAATTTAAATAAATTTTAGTGTATTAAATTAATTTTTAAAAAAATGTAGCTAAATATAAATTTTATTATAATAACTTACTTTTATTAAATTAAATTTTATTAAATGAATTTTTACTAAATAAATTTTTAATAAATTAAAAACGAAGCAGACACTAAGTTCAGAATGTGTTGAGAAATCACTGAGTTGCACAGTGCACGGGTGAATTTGGCAGGTTAAAATTTCTTCTCACAATTAATGCGCCACATACAGAATCGATTTGTAGAAGCAGGAGAAATGGGCTTATGTGAAGATGAGGGCAGCACCCAAATAATCAATTATGGGCATAATGAGGTGTTCGGATTTTTTTTACCCAAGCCATGATTTTCCTTGCAATAATCAATTAAAAGGGCAAATCCAAACACACACTACATCTCCTGCCTGTGCGCGAGACTGTTTCTGTTTCACTCGGACTCTTCCATGAAGATCGAGATTCTTCGCCTCCGTTGACAATCTTTTCCTTGTGTTCTATTCATTATCCGTCGAATCTTTCCTTATCGAAGCTTCGAATTGGTGAAATAAGCTGATTGTTCTTCTTCATCTTCTCCAAGTTGATTTTGCCTCATTTTTTTCTTCATCGCTTTCCCGAACTTGGGGAAGCTGCCCCCGCCCACAACGCCGATTGAAAGATGGTGGTTGCATTCATCTTGAGTCTGCAAGATTTATGGCCTTTCTCGGTATTTAAGAACGATGACCTGAAGGTTTCTAAGCAATTGGTGAGCAAACTTTCCATTCCCGAGCAGACTAAACAATTTGTTTTCGCCGTTCGCGATCCTGAAACGCAATCCGTTATTTACATACTTTCCGCTTTGAATTTGTCTGAGCGATCGGCTTTTGATGCCGAGTGTCTTATCAAAGAGATTAAACCGGACGCTGTGGTCGTTCAGGCGGATAGTCCTCTGGCGTCAGAAACTCTATCTGAAGAGATTGCATTGGAAGATGGTGTTGGAGCCCCACTGCCGACTTCTTCTTTTGGGGTAGTTAAAAGGTGTTTTATTGATAAGATTGGAAAGGAGAATTATGAGTCCGTAGCAGGCAAGTTTGTGCTGCGTAAGATTTTTGGAACTGGCTTTCGCGGGCACTTGGTGGCGGCGAAGAAAGCGGCTGAGGAGGTAGGATCCTCATTCGTTGTGCTTGAATCGCCATTGGGGAAGTGTTCTTTGGGCAGCCCTTCCGGTGAAGTTGATGCCGCAAATCATTTCCAAAGTTTTGTTAGTAGTTTAGTTCCTCAGAAAGGTGCCTCTTTGGCCCCTCTGACTTCAAAGAGGTTTTCCTTGAGTAATGATGTTCGATCACAGCTATTAAAAGCCTTATCTCTCTATATGGATCCACAATTGCTGGCTCAATCTCGTTCAGTTTCAGAAGAGGATTCATTAGAAATTCGGCCTAGTGGTGATTATGAGGCCCCAGCTTTTGCCAAGTCACTTTATCCATTACTTGAGGACTTGCACAATATATTTGCTGATCTTCCATCAATTGGGAAAGCGCTAGCACATGTGCAAAAGATGCTATTGGATATCAACAGAGGTGAGGTTCTTGATACAAGAATTATCTCTGAGGTCTACAGGTTCCGAATTGCTGTTGAAGGGCTAAGAATGGCTCTAAATAACAATGGTCTACGGCCAATTAACAGGAAAGATATTTCTGGAATGGCCAAAACTGAGTTCTCAGAACTTCCAGTTGAGGAAAAATCTCATGTGCTCTTTGCACAGGCCCTTCGCAGTCAGACCGATAGGTGTAAGACCATAGTTGCACTCGTCGATGCTAGTGGTTTAGCAGGTCTTAGGAAACATTGGAATACCCCTCTTCCTCATGAAGTCAAGGAGTTGGTTGGACAGCTAGTAACAAATTGTGAAGTTGAAGAGGTTAACTCAAATCAAACTAACAGGAGGCGACTATTGACGGAGAAACCTATGGTGGCAGTAGGGGCAGGAGCAACAGCAGTTTTGGGTGCTTCCTCTCTGAGCAAAGCAGTACCCGCATCGACTCTGATGAAGGCTGTAACTCTTAAAGTTCCTACTTCGCTCAAATTCTTTATTAGTCAAACACAGAAAGCACTGGCATTTGCCCTTGGACCATCAAAAGCTGTGGCTCCTGGGATTGCAAGTTCAGGAGCCAAAACATCTGGTGTCCTCAAGGCAACTTTGTCTGCTGAGAAGATTCGAGCTGTTGCACATAGTGTTATAGCCTCTGCTGAAAAGACCAGTATCTCAGCTATGAGAACATCATTCTATGAGATAATGAGGAAGCGAAAGATACAGCCTGTCGGGTTCTTACCTTGGGCTACATTCGTAGGTAGTGTTGGTACTTGCACTGGCTTGCTATTGTATGGAGATGGGATTGAGTATGCTGTTGAATCTGCCCCTGCAGCCCCCTCCATTGCAAGTTTGGGTCGTGGGATCGAGCATTTACATCAGGTATCTGAAGTGGCAATGCAAACAGAAGGAACTAGAATCCAAAAGTCCATAGAATCTTTGATACATAGATTTAAGAAGGCAAAGGCTTGACAATGCTAGAAGACAACTTTCTTTGAATAGTTTTTAGTGGTGACCTTCGTAAAGTGATGATGGCAAGACCTATCTAGTGAGTTCAGGAAATTCTTCTGTATATATATCCATGTCATGTCATGCAGTTTTTGTTTGGTGTTTTGGTCTGTATAAAGCATCAATGTGCTTTGCTTTCTACCATTTATACCAGAATTGTTACTGAAGGAAATTAAATATTTTCCTAACCTACAACTACGTTCGAATTCCTTTGTGCATGCAAGTTAAAGTATGCATGTCATATCCTAGTTTCATAACTATCCTCAGAGTCGGTGATACCTGATTGGCTGATGCACATTTTTGTCAAGCCTGTATCTAATAATGTTCAAATATGAAAATCTGATAAGAGCATCAAATGAATCAGTTAGTCAATTGCCATTTTTGAGGCACAAAATATGAAATTTAATGTTAGAATGTCACAATTGTATCTGAATTAATTTTGTTAACATTGAAGACTCGAGAACATAAAATCTTTGTGAAAATTCTGGTTTTCCTCTATCCATAAGCTGCAAAGTAACAAATATCATCACATATTGCCCATTGCCAAGGAGTCTTGCCTTCTTTTACTCCTCCTGCAACTTCTAAAGTGGCATATGGGAAGGTTCTCTGTTCTGTTTGGAGTCTGGACAAATCCATATGCGTTTTTATTTGTTGGTTCCGTTTAGAGCCTGAAAAGTGTAGACTTGAAGCAAAACTTTCTCCTGATTATTGTTTTGGTATTCTGGTTAAAGGTGTTTATATTCATATTTCATTGCCAACTTGGTGTTGAATCTACATTTTTCATCAGGAGCTATACCATTCCTTAATAGTCAATTATCAGGATCTCTTAAATGAAAGCTTAGCTTTAAAATTACAATCAACTTTATTTATTATAGTTAGTGGCATTCAATTCAAATAAAATTCATTTCATAGTTGGGTTTTTGGGAGGCTATATATCTTCTTTCCTCACAGAATTGGTGTTCCTTCCATAACTGCGTCAGAACTCAGAAAACAAAAATATCTGGAAGCACTTGACCAGTATAAGTTTATTTATCCATATCTCAGAGCTTAGCATAGCCATGCAAGAATAGGCCCATTGATACCACTTTCCAAGTTTGTAACCTTGAGGCAATAGCCTAGTGATGCGATGAAGTGCAGAGGCCCAAACACTTATCTTTTTTCGGGTTTTTATGGACCATGAAGTACCCAAACACTTGAAAGTGAAACACATTCAACTCCAGGAAATATATCAACGAAAGTTAATTTAGTTAATAAAAATGTAATTTATAAAATCATGGGTTTAAATTTTGCTATTGATGTGAGGAATGCTGGATGGCAATTTGTAAGTATCTTTTTAAGCACTCTGAGCTCTTGTGATTCAACTCAGTTAAAATTGTTATTAAAAAAAAAAAAACTCTAGGGAATATCCTGTACCCAAAAAAAAAAAAAAAAAACTCTAGGAAATATTAATAATACAAAGCTCAGATTCAATCAAATAATAAATGATCCAGGATTTCAATTACTTCTCAAGTAGTACTATGAATTGTGATGAACGCGAGAGGGGGAATTATTATTACTTTGAGACGTTCTTATCAAGTTATTATATGTAATGAGAAAATGAAAATAAATTGTTATTTCACATACTCACCTCTAAATTGTCTAATATAAGAGTAATATTGAGGAACGATATTATTTATAACGATATAATATATTCCATGTATTTTATAATAATTTTTTTATAAAAAAATTCAAACAGTGAAATGAATATAGTAAGTGGCACAAATCACACATTCAGAAAGTACCAAATCTTTCTTATAAAATTTTGAAAAAACATAACTTTTAATCCTTTCACTTTGCATGCGATTTGTTATTGATTTATACACTTTATTTTCAGTGTTTTAAATTCTTATAGTTTTTTCCGTCTGTACTTTAAGTCCCTACGCTTTAAGATGGGTGTTGATGTAATATTAATGGTGTTAATTATGTTGATGTGAAGAATAATACCATTAATTACATAGTAACATGTCAGTTAGTGGATGATGTGTGTTTTGTTGTGAGGGAAAAAAGAAAGAAAAGCTTATATGCACTCCCTCTAATCCTTGTTATAAGATACTTTTAACTTCATGCATATTTAAAAAAGTTAGTTTTTTTATTGATATTATAAAAAAATTATATGTATTTTTATTTTTACCCTTGACTTTAAATAATAGTATAACTACATTAAATACCTTTACATTGATGAAGAAAGGATAAAATAAAAAAATAGTTTAATTATTACAAAATGTCTTATATTTTAGACCATCACGAAGCTGAATAATATATTTTATATACATTCAAAAATAATGAACCATCCCAAACCTAATCTCAAACCCGACTTCGGATCACAAAATCACAGGAAAAACATCTTGAAGCATATAATTGCAACAAACTTAAAAATGGATATGTAACATTTTCTTGTAGTCTTAAACCTTACTTTTATAAGAATTATTAAAAAAATATACATAAGCTTTTCTTTCTTTTTTTTGCATAAAAAAATACACATCAGCCACTAACTGACATATCACCATATAATTAGCGGTGTTACTGTCCACATCAATATAATTAACACTGTTAATGCCATGTCAACACCCCTTTAAAAGTGTAGGGGCTTAAAGTGTAAGCGAAAAAAAACTTTATAGATTTAGAACATAAAAAATAAAGTATAGGGATCAATAACAAATTGCATGTAAAGTGCAGGAACTGAATTTTATATTATTCCAAAAATTTTTAAATAATGTCTCACATAGTAAGATAATAATCATTCAATTTAATTAAATTATTATTCATGATTTTGTTATATAATACTTAAAAAGCACCAAATTTAAATTTTTTGGAAGGGACAATGTATGCCAAGAGTGTTTTAATTATGAGAATTATTTTTAATTTTTAAAGAGAAATGTTTAATAACTATAATTAAGACTCTTATTGAATGAATGAATTTAAATTCATGAATTCGTAATTGCATTTATTCATGCTATTCCAATTCATTTCATCAATAGTCATTCCATTTCTATGTAAACCCTTGAATACTTATAAAATAATTAAACTCTTTTTATTCTCAGCCAACATCAACTTGACGTCATCAACAATCAAGTATATATTTGTAAATTTTATATTTCAAAATTTAGCTTGGTCTCGCTTCATATAACGAAATGTTTTATTAAAAAAAAAGCTTTTAAAAAGATTGTTATTGATTATACGTTTGCAATGCGGTAAATGTTGGTTTGTTAACGTTTTATTAAATTAAGTTTTCTACAATTCACATATTCAAAACCGAGGATTTTATTTCTTGTAAATTGAATATTGAGTTAAATTATAAATAAAACCAACTAAAGTTGGCGCAAGTCCTCGTGAAGAGGTACTAGTAAGCCGCAAATCATAGTCAGTTTGGTTTGAATATCTAGGATGCCAAGGAAAGCAAAGTTGGCGTATGTGGTAGAAGTTATTGTTACTTAAACACGTAGTTAGGATTTGAATCTAAATACTTATGTACTTTTTTATTTAAAAACAGAAGGGATTTTTAATAAAATCTTACCCCAATAAATAAATTAATTATTTTTAAATTAACATCATCTTTTTATATTTACCTCCACTTAATAAAGTGTTTCATTTTAAAATAAGTATAAAATGATCTATTTATTAGAAAAAATTTTGGAAAAAAATTACATTAATTATACTTTAAAACACTAAAAATATCTTATATTTTTTAATTAATATTCACTCTTTTAAAAAATACTTTATATTTTTTAATAGAGGGATTATGTAATAATTTAGTTAGAACATATACACCTTTTGTTCTCAATATCTTGAAAGAGATAACCTTTATTGTCTGTGGAGCTGACTCCTTATGCTAGATGAAAAAATGTTATAAATAGAAAAAAGAAGAGTAGGGACTTTGTCTCTCTTAAATAAAATTTAAAAATACAAATATGAGTTAATACATTTCTAGCACATTTTGATATTAGTTCATTATTTTTTTCCATTGCTTCTGACCCCTTAAGTTCTTCAATCTACAATGCTAGTTTTTATATTTTTAAATATAACTATAAGGATTTAACAGAAGCTAATGTTAACATAAACTTTGCTCTCTTTTTTTTCCTGGCTTATTAAAATTATGATTAGTTGTTAAAAGAAAGTGAATGGAAGGCAAAAATAATCAAATATGACATTAAATCAAAATACTTAAATGCATGATGGATGAAGTTTCAGAAGACAGAAGATGCAATCACTAGAGTAAAAAGGTTGAAAAGTTAATAACTATTTTGCTTAAACAATGTCTAACTAATCATAATTTTATCAACTCAACAATAAAAATAATAAAGTTAGGTACATATCAACAAATTTAACTTTGTGAATGATGGTAAGAATTAATATTGCAGACAAATAAAATTTAAGGACTAGCTGAAATAACCAAAAAAAAAAAAAGAAATTATAAAGGTTAACATCAAAACGTGATAAAAATATAGGCAGCAGCCGTTGCTTTTTCTCTAAAATAAATATTAACTTCAATGGAATGAAAATAACCTAATTTTAGGGCATATTTCATTGATTGATAAAAAGTTTTTTAAAGAAAAATATGCCGTCGTACGGAGAAATGTAAATTACGTTGGCATTATTGGAATTTTGAAAAGGGTGGTGGTGAAATGAAAGTGGCTTCCAGGCCCAAATTCAACTCACTTAATGCCACGCTTTCCTTTGTGGGGTTGACTTTGTGTTATCATGACTCATTTTTCAGTCGGTTGATTTTTAATTTTTTGATAAAATACTCTAGAAAAATATCATAAAAAAGAAATTATTTGTATTTAAAAAATTATTAATTACAGCGTTCGTTAATTTCAAAAAAATTTTATTGTAAACTTATGGAAAAGAGCATATATTTAATAATAAAAATTAAAAATATTATTATAATTAATAATTAATAATTTTTTCTTAAAAAATAATTTGATGCTTCTACTTTTGCTTCAAAATTCTAGTGGGAAGTTGCTCACATAGTTACACACACAGATACATAAATATATATATATATTTGTTAAAGACTTTGTCCAAGGCACACTCGAGAGCCTTCCACAACACAATAAGAGCACTAAGGACCTGAAGTCTAATGGACTTGATGCCTCACCCAACATTACTGTGAAAGCAATAACTTCGAGGGTCTCTCAAGTGGGTTCATTTGTTTT